GTCTCCCAATAACAAACCTTTTTGTTTCTCCTACAGGGCAAAGTGTCGTCCAGAGAGTGTGCCATCATGTGAAGCCTTCCTCATAAGTAGATGGCTTTTACCCTTTATATACTACTTTTTTTCTTCTAGAGCCATTCAGATATGATCCTGTCCATTGCCTCATTATTTGATGTTTTTACTATTCAAGATCATTTTTGTATAATGGACTTGGTTTTTATAGCTTTCCATATTTCTGCACCTACTTTAATGAGTCAATAAAAATTAGTCAGACGCCAGCAACGATGGATTAGATATGATGGATCCCAACTCCTAAGCACAACAGAACATGGTATATAGACACTATATATGGTATATATACTATATATAGTCTATATGCTATGTACACCCGCTGTATACTGGGTGTGTACTGGGTAAAATGCATCTGTTATCAAACCCCTTGTGACATCAGGGCCTTTCTGAATGTGTTTCTAACTTTAACATTTATTGCGTGGATACTCATGTTTGTCTGCTGCATGTTTTCTTAGTATTTTTTGAAGTCTTCCTTTCACTTGCATCCAAATGCAAATGAAACGATACATTCTTGTTCAGTTACCTTGGATTTCCCTATTCAAAAGGTGGTTTGCAAATTGACCGGATCCAGTTCTTCTACTTTGGGCTCAATCTAACCACCTCTGACCTTTGAGGTACACTCGGTTGATACTTGACCTTCTGGTCACAACCTAGAACTCTTTGTGACTATGCTCCGTACTTTTCTCTTCCTTATTTCTTCAAAGGTGAAGATAAAACGTTCTTAGATTTCTGAAAACTAAAAGCAGCCTCCTTTTTTTTTGTTAAATGTGGCTCCCAGTTGAGCTGCAGACCGAAATCCATAAAGCCAGGAAAAAACACAAGACAACTGCCAAACCTAAAATCACGTAGCTCTCCCGTCTGTGTTCTTACGACCCTCAACAAGACTAGCATGGTCAGAATTATGTGATGCATGTGAACCCTGCTTTCTTGGGGAAATGTGCTTTGTTGAACTCAGTCCTATCCACACCTAAAAGAGCTGCGAGTGCTCCAAAGCAGCTGTGTAAACCCTGACAGCAGACCCAGAGGAAGTCCAGGGCCCTCACACCGCTCCATTACAGTATTTGAATGTTCTTATTTAGCTCTTATTTTTTGAATTACACTGCAACTTGTTGCCTAGACTGGCTTTATTGGTTGCTAATAGTTTTTTGTAGAGATTTTCTTAGTGGGGCCAGCACTTTTTTTTTTTTTTTTTTGGACCAAAAAACACTAGTGGTTCATTTTGACTGGCAACGCTTCTGTTAGCAGATGCGTGTCTATGCTGCCCGTGTGTAGTCTGCAGAGGAAGAAATCTGCACTTGTAACAAAAACTGACTGATGCCTCCAGAGAACCAATGAAACTAAACTTCAGAACAATAATAGAACACTTATTACAAGTGCTGACATTGTAGGGTGGGTGGCGTTTTCTTACAGTCTGCTGTTCTGCCTCTTGTTGCCGTTTTCAGTTTTCATTCGACAAAGTTGGAGAACTAACTGGTGCTTCTCAGACTTGCTAAATGTTGCGTCTCTGAGCCAAAACACTCATCCCAGAAACAGGACGTATGTGTGCAGACAGACAGGATATTGGACTCATCTAACCAACATGCCAGGCTGTTAATAAACACCTGGATCTGCAGAGTGGAGCTGAGGCTTTAGGGTTTAGGAACATTTACCATGCAGCGGCCAGTTTTTCTTTGCTTGGGTTTGTTCTTCTTTGGACAGTGCAGTGTCAATTGGATTAGGTTAGATGATGAAATTAAAGTTAAAGCTTTCTCAATCCGAAACCTAAAACTGACAAACTTTTTGAAGTGTGTGGGATAAATGATGGAAGTAAGATTCCTGTTTCCTCAGACTTTTGCAGGTGTGACGTGATATTTCGAGTACACGGTCTCCGTCTGTACTCTGTTTCTGACTTGAGCACACTGTATGAGTTTTTCTCATACCTGCTGTGTGTTATTGTGGAAACGGCTCTCTCTCGTGTGTTTGTGTTGTGTGATTTACTAGTTCTATGTAATCAGTTTAACTTTTTTTTTAAATGTGTGTACAATTCTTAGATTGGCTCTGGTAGGGTTTTTGTGACTTAATGAAACTGGGAAACTCGACTTATATTTCAGGGTCCATGTAAAAAAATAAACAAAAAAATTACCTAAACACTATTCCTGTAGTGTTCCACTAAAAAGTCAAAAGGCTTCACTTCATACGAACAGTTAATATAAAATGTTTTGATTTCTATTGGGAGAAAGTGCCAGTTGCCTTACTAATAACTGAAAAGTAACCAACATTGATGACAACAGAAGTCCGAAAAACCGGAGAAATGCTATTATTCATGTAGGGGTTATGGCATGTATTGTCTGTTTTATCTATGATTTTCTGTCAAGCTACTTTTTGTACACTTAATAAATGTTTTACACATATGTATTTGGTATCAAGAGTCTTCTATGTGCATACAAATCATTAATATTAGTGGGGTGAGGCGTGTTTATAAAGAATGCCTTGAACAGACATCATTTGATAGCTCCTCAGTAAAAACAATATGAGTCAAATAATGGCCTTTGAGGAACTTGTGACAGTTACTGCTGCTGTTTATCTGACAGACTCTGCAGAGTCCAGGGTCGGCCGATTTAAAAATGCCACTTAATTAGAATGATTTTACAAATAACATGGGTCTGTGTGGCCCCACTGCTCAACAGTCTCTGCTTCCATATGTGATGAGACATGTCATTGAAGGCATTTGTACTACAACCAAGTCATTTTAACCTGATATTAGCATTTATTATTAGCTTGAGGTGACACAAATATCAAACATTTGAAAGATTGATGCAAAAAAGTCATATTCAGAGTAGCTCTGAGTCGGCCGACACCCGTCAGACCCTTGACTGAAGGTCGGAGTGACCTTGAACGTCAATAAACTACGTTAAATTAGTGGTGGCCCGTCATTAAAAGAGAGGCAGGCCCTTGCTTCGACCAATGAGAGCGCGGGAGAGAAACACGTGCTGTGGAGCTGTGACACCCCCTCACCTGAAGCCAGAGGTCTGAGAGCTCTCATTTGCCTGACTGAGCTACAGGAAAAGCCTCTCGAGTCTACGAGCGGGGCCTGGAGCTCCTTGGAGAGCGGGAAACAAACAGTTTTAAGTGAGGAAGGGGTTTGACGTTTAGAATCAGTAAGATCTGCGATGTTTCTGGACACTGATTTCTTAGTCCACTAACGGACTGGTAGAGCTGCTACTCCTCCACGTCTAAAGGCCGTCGCCTGCTGGGTAACGTGTTTCAGCCAGGCATGTCCATCAGAAGGGCCGGGGTAGACCCGGGAACAGCTCGATGGCTCCCCGGAGGAGGAGGTGGTTAGAGGGAGGTCCGAGCTTCCCTGCTGCTGCCTCAGCCAACCGATTTAAGATACTTTCAGTCGCAGTTTATTAGTGTTTGTTTACTTTGTTGTTAATTTGTCATGTTTTAGTTATACATTGAAGATCTTTTCTAATAAAATGTCTTCATATCATGAAAGTTAATGTTTTGTATTTGATTAAAAAAAACAACAACAACAAAAGAAAAACTAAGCTTTCTTTTTACTTTTTTGGACATTTATTTATTATTATTATTTGAGTTTTTAAAAAAGCATAAAGAGGGAGAGTAACAATCAGCCACATTCATCATGACAGTCCGTTTTTAGCAATACATTTAGCTCCAGCAGGGTAAACTTAAATGGCGGTAATCAATCTGAAAACACATTTTCACAAAACAGTGAGCAGCCTGTGATGTAATCTTGGTAATGAGCAAAGAGCTCTGACTGGTTTGTGGCCCATCCCTGCATTTACTTTAGCTTTATAAAAAGGTTACAAAGTAGCTAAAATCACAGAGGTATGGCATTTCAACAAAGACTGTCCAAATTCCAATGCTCCTCCAAATGCCCAGATTTGAAGGATGGCTCATGTGTATCCCTTGTGGCCCACCCCATCCCAGCATTCATTTTGGGTCATCTTCATATTCTTGGTGCACCACTCTTTTCCTAAGTACTTTACACAAGAAATGAACTGAAAAATGGGTCTCATGAAGAGTGATGAAGCCACATTTGCAATTTTTGGTTCAAATCTTCATTGACGTTACAGTAAAGCTGCCTAGGATAGTAAGAGAGTATAATAAAGGTGCTCATACCAAATCTTGGCTTTCAAGCTCATTACAAACTCTGTTTTATATGTTCATGCATGTTTGCCCATGTTTCAGCCATTTGCTGCACCAGCTTCCCATTGTCCTAGCAAAATGTAAAAAAACAGCGGATGAAGGGGTCAAGACTTCTGTACAGCTTTTCAATAGGACTGTAAAATAATTTGAAAGGAACTGAGGAGAGTTAATGGCTGGAAAATGTTGTATTCCATAAACTACAGATAAAATATTTTAGTAAATAAACAAAATCATGTTTTCTACTCCACCACTTGGAGGAAAGAAAAAAACTGTTTTAGTGTGGTCACTTTTTTTTTTTTCATTTTAGTTTGAAAGTTAATGGAAGTGGTTGCAGTCATTCGGTTATAGATGAAGAAGTGTAGGGAGGAGGAGTAGAGAAGACGCAATCATTTTACGTCTCATATTAAGGTGCACTGGGCTAAATTATACACCATGCATTTTAGGGAAACATTGCAATAAAAATGTAAGTACTGTGGGGGTGCTGAGAGTAGAGCATGTAATATTATACTGTCAGGAGTATGAGAAAGAAAGAAGACAACTGATTCAAAACCCAAATAGAATGAAACTGAAACTAGATTTAATTTGTTTACTTAGAAATAACCCAGGAAGTAAAAGTTATCAGGTCATAATTTATGGCGTTATTTTTGTGCCACTATTCTACAAAAATAACGCCATATTAATTAGGTATCTAAGACAAACCCATTTGTATAATAGCATCCAATCCTGAAGCGTCATTCTAGTTCCCACTCCATACAAGTAGGTGGCGGTAATGCACCAATTCGTTCTTTGTCAACCGCTGATAAAGACCAAGAAGAAGAAGAACAAACACAAGGGAAAAGTACGGGAACCTGGAGTTGAGCTGAGCAATAGCATCCGAGTAAAAAAAATTTTGTTTTGAATGAAGATGGACTCTGAGGCTGTGGAGATAGACGGCAGCGTGATGGAAGGAGTGAGTACTCACTTTATGTTGGGGAGGTGATCACATGAAAAGCTGCCGGCTTCCCCCGCCGCTAATGTGCTAGCACAATGCTAGCGCGGCGGACAGCAGGCGGTTTTTAGCTCGCTGATGTCGCTTCTGTTTCCCCTTCATTTGCTCTGTGCAGGGCGGACAGATCCTGAGAGTCTCGGCGGCGCTCAGTTGCATCATCGGGTCCTCCATCAAAATCACTAAAATCCGAGCCGGCAGAAGCACGCCGGGTCTGAGGTGAGTTACTAGCTCAGTGCTAGCAGGCTAATGTTAGCCTATTCATTAAAGTTGATGCATCGGTTAACTTAAAAGTATTAACAAAAACAACCGATTGTCCGATTTATTTACATTGGTGTTATTTGCTCTACCGTGTGAACGCTGATTAGTTAAATACCTCCCGGTTTGTTTGCGTGCTTTTGTTGAGACTCAGCTGATTTAAAAACGCAGCTTCTGTGTGAAAAGAAGACCATCTGTCACCTTCAGCTTCAGTCTGCACAGCACGACTTTTAGCAGCTTCAGCAGAAACCTTCACGACTCTGTGCCGCAGAACTTCCTCGGCTTTTAATCAGTTATCTTAATTAGATTTTATTGATTACTGTTCGGTGCATTTTATTTGCGACGTTTTCGTGTGCATTTCTATTTCGTTCTTAAAAAGTTGGAGGCACAAGCCCCCTCAAAGTCCCAGTAAAAGAACAGAGTTCTGAAATTTCAAATCGTAACATTTTGATCAATTGTGTGCAGACCACAGCACCTGACCGGCCTGCAGCTGGTCTCAGATCTGTGTTCTGGCAGTCTTCAAGGAGCCAGCATTGGCTCCACTGACATCAGTCTGACTCCTGGTAAAACCCGGGCTGGGAACTACACGGCTGACACGCAGACTGCAGGGTAAGTCTGACCCACTGACTGCATCGCTTACTATGTAACCAGCTGCTATCTGGCAGTAATACAAAAGCTATTGATTGTTTTTGTTTTAAACATTAAACATCTATATATAATCACTTCTTGTGTGTGTGTCAGGAGTGTGTGTCTCCTGCTGCAGGTTGCTCTGCCTTGTGCTCTTTATGCCGATGCTGCCTCACAGCTCTGTCTGAAGGGAGGAACCAACGCAGAGATGGCTCCTCAGATTGACTACACTATCAAGGTAATCGACATAGACACACCGCAGCCCTATAACAGACAAAGTAATCATCATTGGTACCCCAATACCAAGAACACAGTCTCCGTTTTAATCCAACTCACTGAAGAGTATAATATGTCAGTATGGACCATGATGTTTACCTTTAGAGTGGAAAGAGTCACTTTATTTTGCCTGGACCACGCTGATCCTCCATAGACTGTATTAAAGTTTGATAGAACACAACTTTTTATGCTGTCAGTGGTCATCCACCCAAGTCTAATATTCATTAGATGTTGCTGGAGTTCTATTTGACTTTTAAATCTAGTTATTCAGCAGTAATCTGATGTGGCCTATGAGACAAAGTGAAGATCAAATGTGTAGAAAGGGATAAGACAGAGTTTACTGATGGGCTTGTGATATTAGTCAACCAGAGAGAAACTTCGGGTTACCACAGTCTGTTACCCTGCTAACTGACTCAGAGCTTCAGTTAGTGCCTAACTTGATGCACTTCCAGTGAAAGTGAAAGCAGAGAACTTTAAGTGTGTGTTTATAGAGTTTGTTTTTATATTACATTTGATTGTGTATATATATATATTTTTTTAATTGTCTTCAGGTATTCAAACCCATTGTGGAGAAGTTTGGAGTCCATTTTGACTGTGACATCAGAATGAGGTCAGTGTACCAAGATCTACAGAGTTGAAATGTTACTGGAGTACTTGTGTGTATCTGACTGTGTATTTGTGTATCAGGGGTTTCTACCCTAAAGGTGGAGGTGAGGTCATGGTGACGGTGAATCCAGTCAAAGAGCTGACGCCTGTCACAATGACTGAGAGAGGAAACATCACAAAGATCTATGGTAGAGCTTATGTTGCTGGAGTTCTACCTTTCAAAGTAAAGTTCACACTCACTCACATTACTCATTTTATGGTTTTTACTGCATCAACTGTTGTGTTTTTGTTTTTCTTGTGTACTAGATTATTTTTCCAGTCTTTCATTAATTTGCCGGTACACAATTTCTTCTTTGTTATTTTTTTTTGATAATACAGTCACTGCTAATTAACTAGTCTTAGCCACATGCTATGTTTCAGAAAGGATTATTTGTGCTCATTATTAGCTCGTTGGCTAATGACTTGTCATTCAAAAATGGCTAGCCAATGAATAAGCAGTTTCACAGTGAGGCCTCCTACTAACGTCAGTTTTTTTGAAACTCTAATGTCATGACCTTGCTACGTCCATCTTTTATACAGTCTTTCACTTTGTTTATATTGAGCTACACAAAGCTCACCGAGGCTTGAGAACAGGATAAGGACTGACATCACCAGCTAGAGTCCAAGATGGCGACTTTAAGCCTTGATTTAAGTCTGTTGTGGACACGGACAGCTGGAGACCCAACAGCCTAGTGTTGGACTTGGTCGTTCGGTCTCCACCTGGCTAAGGAGTGCACTCCACTCCTGAATATATAAACATATCCACTCTTTGCGATGAATTGGCGTTAGGTTTGAGTCCTGTGCAGAACAGCAGTGGGGACAGTGCATAACAGTATAGTTAGCCCTTAACTGTCATCTTCCACAACTGCACTGAATTCCTGATGAACAGTGTGCTATTTAACCCTTGTACTGTGCAAAGACCCAGAAATGAATCTACCAGCAGTTTATGGGATGCAGATTCTAGTCAGACAATTTTTCAGACCATCATGTGACTTCACAAATTTTCCATGTTGTTATGGGGGAATCATTTAGACAATCGTGATGCAAGACAAATTAGCAGTGGTCAGAGAGTTTTGGAGTATGGGGAGTGCCAGCCTCTCATCTATATCTCAAGTGCAAACAGCACACTGGATGAGTGTCTGGTTGCTTTAGGAGATGCTGCCCTTTCAAACGGTACATGCCAAGATAACATAATATGACATAAAGATATGGGCAACATATGTGATGCCAGGACAAGTTGTGCCTGGAACATACAGAGAAAATCTGAACCTCTCTGATTTGTTGCCTTCTGTTTAAGAAGAGCCACTGTAGCCAAGGTTGTATGCAGCCAAGGTTTCTGTGGAAATGGATTCACTTTCTTAAACTTAGTTAAGGAACTTTCGAATGAAATGTATTGTCCGGTGCTGCGTAGTCTGTTATTGTAAAACTAAATGTGAAAATGTCAGGTATGCTTTTCTTTATTGAGTTGACTGTAGTTTTTGTTTTCTACAGTTGGCTAAAGACATGTCAGCTGCTGCTGTTCGAACCATCAGGAAGGAAATCAAAGAACTTTACATCAACATCCAGCCACAGCAAGAGAAGGAAAAGGCCTGCGGGAATGGAAATGGAATATTGTAAGCTCTGAACATACGATGCATTCAGCATTGGCACGCAAGGAAGAAAAAAATGTTCTGGAACTTTAGAAAAGAGGAAAAGCATTTGGCCAGAGTCCTGATCATTTAAAATCCTCAGCATGAAGAGGAGTTATAGCTTTGTGAAACCTGGTCTAAGAGGCCGTACGCTATGAAGCTCTTGGTTTAAAACTGCCAATGCTCCCCAAAGGATCAGCCCCCTGACTGCTTTTCCACCTCTTTTTCAGAATCATTGCCGAGTCCTCTACAGGTTGCATATTTGCTGGTTCAGCACTGGGAAAGAAAGGTGAGGAGTCACACGAACCAGCAGGTGGCAGCAATGCTGCAGTAATGTGATAAATGTTGACACCTCATTGAGAAATGTAATTTATATGAAGTCATTACTTCCCCATGCCCCCCTCTTTGAAAACAAACATGCTTTGAATGCTTGTTGGGCTGATGTTCTGAAACAGTGACTTTTCTTTGACAGTGCAGATGTTCAAGTACATGGGCTTTTTGTTTTTCAGGTGTGTATGCAGATAAAGTGGGTATTGAAGCTGCTGAGATGTTGCTGAAAAACATCAGACACAATGGCTGCGTGGACGAATTCCTGCAGGACCAGGTGAGTGTGCGAGAGAGCGACACGCGCGCACACACACTCTGCGACCTTACTCTGACCTTACTCTGACTCTCCTCTGCAGCTCATTATCTTCATGGCGCTGGCAAAGGGAACGTCTCGGATTCGAACCGGTGCTGTGACACTACACACACAGACAGCAATTCACATCGCAGAGCAGCTGACTCAGGTCAGAAACTCTTACAGCACAAGACTGACCCAAATGGTGCCTGTTCTGTTCGCGAGTCACAGTTTCAGTTTTAATATTGCTTCTTTATCTTGTCCTGGTGTCTGACGCAGCACCTCAGGTCATCCTCGGGTCTGAGTCGAGCTGATCAGTCATTAACCTTGTGTGCTGTTGTATTTGCAGGCAAAGTTCACAATAACAAAGTGCGAAGACGAGCTGAGCAGAAACATCACCTACATCATCGAATGTCAAGGATCAGGAGCGGTGAACCCCAACCTGTAGCAGAACACGCTGTGCACACACTGACCCCACGCTCGGTAGCTGCTCCAAACGTGGCCGACCCTCTTAGTTTCTGTCTCTCAGGGTTTTTTCCAGAAATACTGTAATAAATAAATCTCCTCCTTGTGTTCACATGTTTCTGCCTGTTTTTAACTGCTCCAAGGAAAGATTTCCAATGTTTCCCCATGTGCACTTCACTTTCCTGGTTCTTTGGTTGCTCTTTGACTGAAAGCAGATTTGGGATTATGCTTTTTGGTCAGTATCCTCCTTTGTCAAATTTGAGTTTTCTTTGTTCAGTTTTGAAAATTTTCATATATCCATAGCCTTGATTGAGATTAAACCCTCAGCAAAGAAGGGTCATTGCAATTAAAGGATCAGGACTATTTAACACTTATGTGGAGTGTAGTAGTTAGACTTTTGAGAGGCTTTGTCAGTCCGGTTCAGACATCAGCATTGCTGATTATCTAACAGTGACCACTACATATGAAGTTTTGAGTTGTAATCATAACCTGACCAATAAAATGAATAAACTGTCTTCCAGTTCTATCTTTATCTGCATGCTTTGCTCAAGCTCATCATAAAACTGATTGCAATTCAACTACTGCGCAACCTTCAGTATGATTTCTTAAAAGCAATGGTTTTTGCTCAGAATCTACATTCATTGGAAGCATGCCCACTATGAACCGATGTATCGGGCCTCTACAGATGAGCGTACAGGCTGACTGGGAAGAGATGACTGCTGTGCTTCCCGAACCAAAATAAAATTCATTCAGCAAATGTACGGCATTCCCAGTTTACTTGTCCCACCTACAGGAGATCTGAAATATGGCAAATAGAAGCTTAATACAGATATGGGGATTACAAAGGAGGAAGTTCTCAGTTGGGGTGGTTGTAGAGCAGGTTACCGACTAATGACAGGGTTGGTGGTTTGATCCTGGTGTTCATATGAATAGTAGGAAGCGCTTTGATGTAGATGCATGTGTGTGAATGTGATGTTGTATAAAGTGCTATGTAAGAGCCAATCCGTTTACAATTAGCCCTGTGCTGTGGCTTTATGTTGTTGTGTAGGAGCTGTGAGTGGAGGTTTATAGATATTTGACCACACACTCCTACTGTTTACATGGTTGCAAGATTTAGGCTCAAGAATTGCAGTTCATATGTAACCACTTTAATTTTGGACTGATGACTTAACCAGTTACTACACACAAACACAGGACATACACCAGGACAAGACACTGAGTCAATAGAAAAAAGTTTGTTTGTGTTTACTGCATGTTTTGAGGGACGCCTGTGTGGTTGTGTGCAGATCCAGTGTATAAATTGATATAAGAGAGAAAATCAGTCCACCAAAAAGAAAAACAAAGTTCTATCAGTACAACAGAGCTGTACATGTCTATAAAGTGAGGTACTGTTACGGGCACTGATGAAGTCGTTAATAGGAGGATTTACAGCTGTACGAGGGGCCTGTTTTGGCCAAATCAGCCGTGTTTTTTTATTCTGTGTTCAGCAAATCTTTTGAATTTTTTTTTTTTATCTTATGTTGTGGCCTGTGGTGTCTTTCTAGTTATTTAAGTTTTATGTCACCCCCAGAACTGGCAGGAGGGGATGACCCTAACTCTTCACACCACCTGTTCCTCAGGTTCCACAGAGTGCTCCACATCCACATTGCCCAGCTCTCTGGGCTTTGGGCCATGACTTTCCATGCCTGTTTGGATCTCCCTTTCTTCATGTTTTCAATACTTTTGCCATGTGTCATTTCTCATTATTGCGCATAAATTAAATTATGGACATCTATGGTTTTCTCTCCATGTGTGAATTGGATGGGTTGGTACTGAAAATTTCACTGAAAAACTGGTGAAAATTTCATATCAATAGCACCTTCAGAAATATTTTTACTTAGACAACTGGTGACATGTTCAAAACGTATGTTACTCACTGTGTATTATGTGGGTGGTTGAATGGTTAGGTATTGGCAGGGTTTTTAAAACATTTTTGTAGCTTTTCTACCCCATGCAGTTTCTTCCCAAATAGCATCAAAGTGTTTTTGATGTAAAAACTGAATGTGTGCTGTGGATTAAATGGGTAACTGGCTCCTGACTATTCTAGACCTGCACTTCCTGTGTCCTATGGTCCTGTTTCCGTGATGTCATTAGTTATTGTGTTGGTTGCCCCTCTAACTCACCTGCGGTAGGTGACATGATGTACAGTGTGCATAGCAGGAAGTCCAGCTCAGAATGTGTGTTGAAACCTGAGGAGGCTGTAAACTCACACCTCTGTCCCCTCTGGAACCAGGGGTAACCCAATCCAGGGCACCTGACACCTCTTTCCTTCAGCTGTACCCTTACAGTCTGTTTGTTCCCCTGCAGTATGGCAGACACTGGGTCCTGGAGGACCCACCAGGTCAACCCTCTGATACTCCAGCCAGGACCCAGACCTGGACAAGGACCGGTACCGGGGCCGGGACCTGGATCAGGATCAGGATCAGCTCCCAACTGTGTGTGGATCTCATTGATCGCAGGTGAGTTTGAAGTCGTCATTGGGATACATACAGATGCTCAATGGACGTTAAAGGACTACTCTGTAATACAAATACAGCAGGAAACTTTACCACAAACTCAGTCTGAGGTCAGAGGAAGGATCATTTCACCTACATTTCACACAGAATAGTTTAAAGAATTTTCTAGAAACTATTTGATTGACTTAGGAAAGACATAGGAAAAACAAAAGAATAGAAACTCCTATTTATTGTAGGGACTCATTATTGTAACTTTAATGACATATTCTTTTTCATATTTATCTATAAATATGACTTTTTATTGACTAAATGAGGCCTAAGCCCCATAACAAGCACGTCTCTTGGTCATCTGCTTGAGGATTTACCATTAATTACAGATAATAGACTCAAAACACCTTGACCTTGGTTACCTTTGTTTATCCAGAAATGCTGATGTCTTGGATTTGGCTGGAGGAAGAAATCTAATTTCAATGAAATTATATTGCATTCAGAATTTCATTATTTACATTGCACTTACATGTTTCACATATTAAACAAATTTTAATATTAGACAAAGATAAAAGCTACCCAAACCTGTGTGAGAGAGTAACTGCTGCCTACACCTAAAAACTTGTGCCACCCTTGGCAGCAACAACTGCAATGAGTCTTTCACATCGTGGTGCTGGATTTTGGCCCACTGTTGCAGAATTGCTTCAACCTCATTGGAGGGTTTTTGAGCATGAGAAGAGCAGAATTTATGTTTCCACCAATTATACCAAGTGATCCAGTTCCTGAAGCAGCAAAGCATCCACAGACCATCGCACTACCACCACCATGTTTAACTGTTGCTGCTATGTCCTTCTTATGAAATGCTGTGTTCGTTTTATGGCAGATGTAACAGCAGTCAAACCTTAAAAAAGTTCATCTTTTGTCTCATCAGTCACAGAACATTTTCCCAACAGTCTTGGGATCATCAAGATGTTTTCTGGCCAATGTGAGATGAACTGTTGTGTTCTTTTTGCTCAGCAGCAGGTTTCTTCTTGAAACTCACGGCTGCCACTATTGCCCAGTCTCTTTCTTATTGTTGAATTATAAACTCTGTCCTTAACGGAGCCAAGCGAGGTCTGCAGTTCTTTAGCTGTTTTGGGTTCTTTTGTGGCCTGGATGAGTCATCGGTGTGCTCTTGGAGCAATTATGCTGAAAACAGAGGATAGAAACAGAGTTGATAATGGCCTAAATTTAAAATGGACCGCTGTAATTTGGAGACAGCAACAAAGATGGTGTTGTAAGCTCACCTTGTTCAGACAGCAACAAGGGTGGGCAGTCACCAAGAGATGCCTCAAATAGGGTGAGACCTGTTGCAGTGGTTGATACTGGTTGGTTGATACCACACACCAAAGGTTGCTTCCTGCTCCTGGTTGGCTCTTTCGATTTGGCCATTAGTCTGCAGCTGGAAACCAGATGAGAGTCTAACATTTGGCCCAATGGCAATGCAGAACTCTTTCCAGACTCTCAAGGTGACTTGAGGGCAACTGTCTGAGATGATGACAACAAGTATCCCCTGGAGGCGGATCACATGGTCGATCGGTAGTTGATTCATTTGTAGTGCTGTAGGGAGCTAGAGTAGAGCAATGAAATGAGCAGCTTGGAGATCGATTCTCCAATGACGTTGTTAAGTGATAGCAGAGGCAACCCAATGACAAAATCCAGGGACAATGCATATATAGGTGGAGTACAGGTCTAAGTAATCCTGCAGGTGGAGAACTTGAAGATTTATTTTGGGCACAAATAAAAAAAGCAGGGAAAAGCAACACGTTTGCATTTTGCTTTTCCGTTGCTACAAGAGCACTGCTCCTAAACCGTAAACCTGAGTAGAGGTGTCAAAGAAAACCATCTCTGCTGAGCATCAAATGGTTGCAAACCTTGGCTAGGTCTACCTTCACTTTTGATAATGAAACCAAGAAAAGTCACAGATTCAACGCACCTGTCTCATGTTAACACACAGTCTGTTTTCTAGCTGTCTTTGTACCTGGAAAACATAGTCGTGGTGGTCTATAAAGTTCTTTGAGATGATGAGTATGTCATTTAGGAAGACAAAGATTAACTGGTTCAGAAAGTCCCGAAGCACGTTGCTCGAATCTTGTTCCGTTCAGTTGTGTAAATCCACAAAGAGCAGTAAACCTGTGAGCAGCCTCAGCAGCACGGGTCAACCAATCACAGCCTGAACACAAAGAAAATATACTGGAACCCACATTAGAAATCATTTTGTATTGTGATATTTGCCCCCAATCTGAGCCACCGCAGTTATTCTTAACATCCCCGCACCTACCGAACCCCACTTTAACCCCATACTCATTTTTCTGTTTAGGTGTTGAGGAAGACTCACCATCTACAATGTAGGCAACAGCAAATAGAACCGTTAAAAAAAAAAAAAAAAATTCCCTTTCTTTTTCTCTGTTTTATTAGAATTAGGATTTAGATTAAAATGTTTGTATTCCAATGTAATATCATAGTTTTATTAGTTTATCAATATAGTTCAGTTAGCTTTGCACATAAATGGCTGGTAGAAACGTCTTCCAAAGAGCTACTTTTTATTTTTTTTACTTTGAGTACATTTCAGAGCCCATACTTTTTCACTTTTACTTGAATCTGTTAAGTCAATACTTCAGTTTTTATCACAGTATACTTTTTGGCACAAGTGTCTGTACTTCAATGCACTTATTTTATATTATAAAGAAATCATCTTTTAACCCCTAAAAACAGCTTATGTAATTTTGAACTTTTATTTTTAAGTTCTTTTATAATTTGGCTAAAATCATTTGAGAGCTGAAACAACACGTAGAGATTATTTTTCAGCCCGTAAAGGTCTGAGAGTGATAAAGGCAGCTGGAAACATTTTAAAATGTCATTTTACTGTTAACTGGATTTTACTTTGAAAGGCAAGCACATTGAAACACCTTCTGTTTAAACAGTAGTACTCATGTAATGTGCACATTTTATCAGCTCAGATAAGTGACATCAATATAGGTGCGGTTTTACTTTAAAGGGGTTTTAAGCTGCTGTTTGAATGATCCAGATAGCAATGTCACATGCTGACTGCCATACACACTCACAAGATCAGCCATAATGATTTAGATAGAGAGAGAGATAGTGACATAGTAATACCAACAAGTCATATTGGAAAACATTTTTCACTGCGAGTAGCAGTACTTACCTAGTGTGCATAACGTGGACATGATTACAGTATAAAGACACCCTCTGCGTCTGATTTTCAGCTTAAAATTTGAAGCTGTTTTGTGAATGCTTTTAATGGCCAAGGTTGTTGGATGTCTGAGAGAACCATAAATCCATCATAATGAATATTATTTATATTTAATTATTTATTATAGTGATAGATGTTATCACACTGCAAGAGGAAAATTTCTTGAAAACAATCAAATGCGTCATAAAACTTTAAACTGCTACTGTGAAAAAAAGTAAAAGATATAAAAACATGGAAAAGTTCAAAGCCTTGTGACTCACAACCTTTGAATGGTGTTTCTTTGATAAAGTGTGCCTGAGATTGCTCTTGGTTTGTTACTTTTCAAGATACTCAGACAATTGCTGACTGAGTTGCCTGTCCTGATATAACTTTTGTGGGAGATCTCTCAAATCTGAAAGACAACTTACACATCAAATTGTTAAAGGAAAGAAGAAGAAGAAGAAAACTGATAATTAATTGTTATTGCATTGGCACATTCAATAAGAATAATAAATCTGACAGTCACACCAACCCTCTATATGTGCTCATTACATCCATTTAACCCCCTGAGGTCTTCCTCGTTTCCTCCGCCCTCTCATCCTTTATCTTATATCACTTTCCCTCCTCTGCACATGTCCAAACCATCTCAATCTTGTCTCTCTCACTTTGTCTCCAAGTTGCTCAGTCTGAACTGTCCCTCTCATTGACTCATTTTTAACTCATATAATTTGTGTTCTTTTGTGAATAAAATACGGAGTTTTTGGCTTTGCAAATCGTTGCTCTGTTTTATTTACATCATTTCTTTTGGAACCAACTAGTTTTTTCTTTTTCCAGCTTATCAAATACTAGTCGAGTAGACCGAGTGATTGAAGGCCTCGTTATTTGTTTCCCAGTGGAACCTGAAAGCAACGCAGAAAGGCAGCATGTTCTGTTTGGTGATTGGCTGTCGTTGCTATGGGAGCGGCTCCCGTTGCTACAGTAACGTGTCTTAAGGAGGGATTTAGGCAATCTGAGTTTTAGAGTGTCGGATCGTCGTCGAGTGGTGCTAACATGCTAATATGAAGGCTGAGAATACTTGTCGTTATAAAACAGAAAGCAATGAGTAGAAAGGATAGTATTTTCGAGGGGAGAAGCTGAAAAGACCAGTGTGGAACTAATGTGAAAGTTTCTAACTTTAGTTAAAACTCTGTTCAGCTGCCTGCTAGCCCGCTAACGGCTTATTGAACTGCTAGCAGTTCAGAAAAGTTTGTGGAGATAGCAGGCGGAGCCGAGACAGGTCAGGCGTTAGACGGATCCGTGACGGTGGCGGGTGCAAAACAGTCCCCGATCCTGTCTGCCTTGTTCAGGATGAGCCAGGACTCTGAGCTGCTGGGAGCCGTTGAGTTTATCAAAGGTAACTTTAACAGTATTGTTACAGAGTTAACAAGGGGACAAAAAAAGCACAATACATAGTTGTTAAACTATTTGTCACAACTCCACGGAGAACTGGGAGTTGTCGAGTTAAAAAAAAAAAAAAAGTAAAATCCTATAAATAGAAAATCAACTTTATGCCATTACACAGCAGGTTAGTGATTGTTTCCATTGGTGACTGGTTTTATATAAAGTGATGTTGATGGATAACTTTGCTCAGCGCCTACTGAGCTGAAATAGAGATTGTGGCATCCTCTCAGATTTGATCAGTCATCGATGCTTCTAAAGAGGGTAACAGTGCTGTACACCTAGCAGCAGCATTCTGTAGAATTAGCCTTGGATTAGTTCCTTATCCTCTGCACTGTTTGGAGTCCCCAGGGCTGCCAACTCCGTGTTTTAAACAGAGATGACAGCTTGTCGTTTGTCGTATACGAGTAGATTCAGCGTGCACACAGAAAGGTCACTGTGGAGAGGCAGGCATTGCATAAAAACGTTTTTCTACACTGAGTTCTACACTGTATTCCCTCTCCAGTAACACTGATCAGTTTTGCTATGAATTAAACTAAAAAACCGAATTTTCTGAAATCCATTGTAAGCTTACTGTGTGTAACTAAATAACTCAGTGCATCACTCAGAGCTGATAAGCAGAGCGAAAGAGCTGGTGAAAACATAGCAACAAAACCAATGCCATCTTTTATGAGTGTGTGTCTGTGTCTCATACTAGTGTATAAACAAGGATGAGAGGGTGAAAAATATGCTTCATCACTAAGGTTTGGATTTCAGAAATGAATGAGATGTTTGGACCTAAAATGTTGCTCACTCTGCCCCATTTTTTTTCCCCTTTTCCTGCTGCCTTTATTAGGCTTTCGTAATCTCTGAAGTTAAATTCAGAATTCCAGAAGATCAAACTGTAGCAATAATCAGTCCAGACTGTGTTGCACTACAATGTTCTTGTGGGTTTAAAAAAATAAAAATAAAGCTAAGCTCTTTACATAGAGACGAGCTTCCTAAACCCTCATTTCAGAGTTGTAGACATACAGGAACAGCACAACATAAAAGTAGAAGAAGCAGAATGCCCATAGTTGACCTGTGTGTTTTTTGGTAAGCGTTGAAGGTTCAAAACTTATCAGCAAGTTGTGGTATACAATGGAAAGGCAGTGATTTCCACAATCAGCAAATCTAACTGCCTTTCATATCTGTCTCTAACAGAGCGCCTGTATTTCGCCACGTTACGCAGTAAACCCAAAAGCACAGCCAACACACACTACTTCTGCACTGATGACGAGTTTGTGTATGAAAAGTAAGTATATCACACCTGCTGCACTGCATTCTGACTATGTGTGTTTTATATACAACTTGCAAAGCCAGGCATTTGTAACCAGCTTTGTCAACGAGTGTGTTTAATGTTGTATTTGAAGAGTGTACCAAGGATTTGAGCTGTGCATGTGTAACCTGGCACACACATAGTAGGTGAAAGAGGTGAGATGCATTCAACAGTGTAATATTTATTTATTTACTTTTTTTTTTTTTTTTTTTTTTTTTTTTTAATGAAGTAAAAGGGATAAAAGCAACTGAGTGCTTTTCTGGATGCTGATGACTGGAAATTTTAGAGGCCTGACTGAACATTAAAAGAAGTTAGTCCTGCTTGGACAGTTAAAATGTTGAAGCGTGACCCCTTTACAGGAGAAATACCGTACTTCAGGAATTTAAATGGAGACTTTCACTCTCTGTATCACTTTCCTTTTCAGCCAGCAGGAGTCTGACTGACTGTATATTCTATGTCCTTTGTGTCTGCAGCTTCTACGCAGACTTTGGGCCTCTGAACCTGGCCATGTTGTACCGATACTGCTGCAAGCTCAACAAGAAGCTCAAGGTGAGTTTCTACTGCTGCCTCACCCTGTGCAGGAATGCCCAGAATGCAAAAGGACAGATGCAGGATGACACAATCTCACAGCAGGTTCACTCTGTGGCAGTGAGTGAACCTGCTGTGAGATTGTGTCATCTTATTTCCACTCCTCCTTCTGACTTCAAACCTCTGTTTTTTGTTTGCACGTTGCCACAGTGATTACATTCTTCTTGTCATTTGTCATGACGTCCAGCTGACTGGACGATCTGGATCCACAGCCTATGTTCATTCTCAAAACGCCCATATAAACACTGATCTGTGCTACGTGTTCATCCCACACCAGGCAGCACATCTTCTGCTGCCTTCACTTGTGCACTGCAGCCTCAAACTTTTCCAGGACTTACCCGACAGACGTGCAAGCAAAAACAAAACGGTCCTCATTTTTAAGGTGCTTTACAAAACTAAACATTATGGCTAACAGATGGATTTTACCATTTCGGTGCAGCTACCCAATCAACGAAGAAGCACTTACTGCTTAAAGAGCAAGAGTGAAAGTAGACAGTATATCCTCAGTTATAACAAAACTCATTTTTACAGCCGGGTGCAGCACAAAAGTGACCCATGAGTTTTTGGTTCTGTTACTACTTTTCTAACATAAACCCATGTAAGTCTGACTGCAACCAACTAACCGACCTGATGACTTAATGTTTGGTATTAACAGAAGATGGCACTAGACATGTTTTTAAAACTCAACTTTAAGCACCATCCATCCATCCATCTTCATCCGCTTTATCCGAGGCCGGGTCGCGGGGGCAGCAGCCTAAGCAAAGAGGCCCAGACCTCCCTCTCCCCAGCCACCTCCTCCAGCTTATCCCCTTTAAGCACTTATTTCTTAATTCCAGCTACAGTTACATATGTCAGTTTTTGAGAGCAGGGCTCCATGGTGTAAATTAGTCTTTATGCATTTAGTGTTTCATGTCCACTTTGTTTAACCGTGGGTTCTTTCTTGTTGTTGGCAGTCATTCACACTGACCAGGAAGCGAATTGTTCATTACACCAGCTTCGATCAAAGGAAGAGATCCAACGCGGCTGTGCTGATTGGTGGCTATGCTGTGAGTACATCTCTGCTTCTTATCCATCTTTGTGTATAAATCAGAGCTTTTCATAGGAGAGGTGAAGCCAACAAACAAAAAGTTAAGGAAAGAAGAACAAGTGACATGTGTTTTGTTTTTGATCATCTTTGCAGTGTTTTGAACTAATTTGTCAGTTGTGTGACATCATCGACACACACACACGCACACAATGGAAGGGCAGGCCCATTAATAGGTGCACTTGATCTCAAACTATGTAAGGTGTAATTCAGCTTAAGGCATTTAAGTTGACTTAATTTACTTCCAGAAGTGCATAACACTAAAGAGGACAAAGTGTACCAAATACTTTCCAAGCTCCTTAGACTACCAAATACTCAGCAGTGATGTTGTTAAATGGGGGAAAAAAATGTAATCTACAAAAACTCAGCAATAATCTTCAAAGTGTTCATTATGACTGTTCTTTAATGGATATCACTAATGGATATCAACTGCGCACATGCTTCTGTCCATCAGCAATGGGGCTGGGTATTGCCACTGATTTCTATAATCAATTTGATTCTGATTCACAAGGTCTCGATTTGATTCAATATTGACTCAGTCAGAAATATTATAATTCTGATCATTTATCAGTACATATCCATATTAAAAACAAAGCTGACACTTGTGAGACTTCAGAGGTATAAGCATCACAGCTGATGCCTTTGTGTCAAAGTAACTGAAGATAAAATGCAGAAAAAACATGAAGCAGATTTTCCTGGCCTGGCTTTTTATAGCCGATAACCACCTTAAAAACATTCTGCAGTAGATGAAAAATGGAAGAAAACCATGAACCTGCATATGAACATTACCTGATGCTGCTTAAGTGAAGCAGAGAAAAGTTAGAGGTTTTATTACAGACTGAGCTAAGTGTTTTGCAATTTGGCATCATTTGTAAAAGTTTAAAATTCTTCTGTATTAAAGAGCAGAAATGAGGCTTTCTTGTCAGAGGTAATTTTGGGGGGATCTCCCAAAACAGCAGCAGACAGCGCTAAACACAACGGTGTGTTCGTTAGACTCGTGGATTACTGCATTTTTTTTTTTTTTTTTTTTTTTTTTTTTTTTTTTTGGGTAGTCATTTCCGTCATTTCCAGGTTTCAAAAAAGGTGGTTTTGATTTTCATGGATGAGACTCTCTCATGACTCAGTGAGCAGTGCTGCTGGATTCTCCACATTTCAGTTCCTGTCGCCTCATTTAATCAGTCTGTGATTTCTGTGCACGTTATCTTGTCACTACATTGAAATAAACCCTTAAACAATTGTTAAATCTTCAGCTTCTTCCGTCATCATTCTGATCCGTTTTATAGCCAAAGTTGTACAAAACTATGTTTTGGTATCAATTTTTAGCTTCTTAAAAACATTCAGCATTTTTTAAATGCATTCTCTATTAATATCTGTCCTCAGGTGATTTACTTGAAGAAGACCCCAGAAGAAGCCTACAGAGCTTTGATCTCAGGCTCAAATGCTGCTTACCTGCCTTTCAGGTGAGTCTCTCAACAGTAGTATTACTGCAGCAAGTACATTTACCATACTAGACATCTGTACCAGCACTGTTGAAGATCCATAACTTGCAGTTCAAGTTGGAGATTAAAACAAAAAACAAAAAAAACAACAAATGACAAGGTTGATTCAAAATAAGAATTCTTTTTTTATTCCATTTGTGTGCTGCATTTCCAAAATTAAATGGTGACTTGTCTGAAAAATAATAGTATTTAGTGTTCTTATGAGCTGAGTTAAATGTTGTGAAGCAAACAACAACAACAGATCTGTCTTCAGGCTGGCGACCTAGCCGCCCCTACCTTACAATGCTCTTGGCTAGTAGAAAGCATATGTTGGTTATACACTTTTGCTTTCTACTGTAGCACTATTTGTTTCTAATAATTTGAATGCATTATTATCTCTGTGGAAGTTTAATAAAATAAAATATTTTCAGAGGACTTCTCTGGTATCAGTATTGAGATGCAAATTTCTTTATTTTGATGGGATTATCTTATTTTGTGGCATTAAACCAAAGCTGTACGGTTACAATGTTGAATATCCAAAAGTAGAAAGGTAGCGTTTGCCCAAAATCCCCCAAATCTAATTTTTATCACTCTATTATGATCATGTCAACAAACATGTCTACTAACGCTAAGCCAATCAAAACTAAAAAAAAAAACTTCAACACCAAATTATTATTTTTAACAATTAATGGCAACACCACCATAATGTGTTTTCAGCAGCACAAAAATGTCCTCCTATTGATGTCGAAAAGCTTTCCAAGAACACAGAGTAAGGTACATTTTTAGTCCTTAGCTTAGATTTTGTGTGTGTGTGTGTGTGTGTGTGTGTGTGTGTGTGTGTGTGAGTGAGTGAGTGAGTGAGTGTGTGTGAATCTTATTTTATCTTTTATTCTAAAAGACCTGTGGTTTTCCTCTGAATATTTAACATTTGTCATTAATAAAACAAAAGTCATTCTTACTAAAATAAGTTTAGGGATGCAGCTATCGTTTAAGTGAAGCGTGTTAGCAGTTTGTATACCACAGCTAACAGTCACTGAGAGACCGACCCAGAGCAGATGAGCTCTGTGTAAGAGTGCGTGCTTACAATAAAGGACTTCTTGTTGTCACTCACTGAATTGTTACATAACAGCTGAGCGTGCTGTTGAACGGAGGAGGACTCTGTTTTTCTGGTGGCCTCATGAGAAGCTTTGAGGTCTCACCTGGCTGCTAATGGATTAAACATGATGGGTAGGGCCCACCTTTCCAGGGAGGGTTAGTAGTGAAACGTTCAGTGTCTGATCACAGCTCCATTAAGTTGTAGCTATAAAGGATTCAGACCCCTGAAGCAGCTGCAGCAAACACTACTCCTAAAGACTGAGGCCATCTGTTGGAGGTGCAGCTTGGGAGTCTGGGTCTGAACATAAATAAGAAGAATGTTTAAAATAAAAATGACATGTTTGTTTTTGCCACACCAGATGTTGGAGCAGTGTGTTGTTGTTGTTGTTGTTTTTTTTTGTTAAATAAATGGTAAATAAAGTGCAGCGCCTCAATTTTAATCCAATGAACCGAGGAATATGAACACACGTCAGTGCTGACCAAGATATTCATCCATAAAAACAGGAGGGAAGAAGAGTCATTTTAATCTGTTTGGGCCACTCTGTCATCATCACAGTCAAAACACATTATTTCATTCATAGTTTGTTATATAATATTTAAATTGCAACAGCTCTGCTTTCATGATTTAGGCCAATAAGAACTTTCATTAGATAAAACTAAATACTAATTTTACTTTTGATTTTAAATGTAATTATTCAGCTGTAAGAAGAGAGCGACAAAACTTGTGAAAACAGAAACTAAAGATCTGAATGTGGAAAAATGGATCAGACACAGTTTACTGATGGACCTTGGGTGTTAGTTACCCAGAGTGGCTCTGCCCTCAGGTCTGTTTTATTAAAAATAAATAAATAAAACCGTTTGCTGCTTATGAACAATTCCAATAATAGTAATAGAAAATTCCATTATTGGATAAAAATGCTTAAAGACAAACTCCCGGTGTAAGCATTTATAATTTAATCTAATATCACCCTTCATTAACAGATGATGGGCTCCCTGATGGTCACAGTTTCACATTTAACTAAAAAACAGGTTGACAGGTGCATTCATATTCACACAGTCACAATTAAAATGATGGAGACTACTTATATTTTATTCTGAGATTATTATAAATCTGTGTATAAATAAATGATGACAGAATGTCTGTAAAAGTGTTCATGTTAAATACACAAAATGGGTTTCAGTATTTGTTTCAAACATAAACTTCTGGAAATTAATTGACTCACCTATGCACCCCGATAGCAACTTAATGAATGATGAAATGAATTGATGTCTGTCAGCTGGTTCAGGTGCAGCAGGAGGGGAGGAGTCAGGGAAACTCAGGCTGTTGAAGAAAACCTGCCAGCAAGCAGGGGTCCGTTCTTCGTACCTCGCTTACTACATCCAAGATCAAATGACACATCCAAGATCAAATCATCGCGCTAACTTTGAGCTCGCTATTCCGGTTCTCCAAACACACCTGTTGTTGACGATTAGTACAGCTGGATGAAGTAATGTGAGATCACTGGGTGTTGTAAAAGGAGCTACGCATCGATAGTAGAAACATTGATCGGCAACCCTCTGATTGGTTGGCGAAAATGTCGAAGGAGCGCGCTCGGTATTTTTCGGCAGCAGAGCAAGAACTCTTGAGTGAGGGATTTCAGGAGTTTCAGAGTTTAATTAAAACGCAAGGGAACACTGCAAAGGCTGCAAAAGCAAGGAGAGAGGGCTGGCAGAAAGTTGCTGACAAATTAAACTCGTAAGTAATGTAATAATAATAATAATGGAGTGGATTTATATAGCGCTTTTCAAGGCACCTAAAGCGCTTTACAATGCCACTATTCATTCACTCTCACATTCACACACTGGTGGAGGCAGCTACGGTTGTAGCCACAGCTGCCCTGGGGCAGACTGACAGAAGCCAGGCTGCCATATCGCGCCATCGGCCCCTCTGGCCAACACCAGTAGGCTGTAGGGTAAATTTATTATATTACACTATATTATATTATATCATATTATACTATATTACATTATATCCTCTTTCACATTAGAGCCACGACAGGACCCACTAGAACATGGGAACAAGTAAAAGTGAAATATAAGAATATTCTACAGAATGGTAATATTTATCACTTATATTGCTTTTAGTCTCTTGAAAAGAGACCCTGGAATAATCTGTTTGTTTATAACAGCAACCAAGAAAAGGGCAGAGCAAAAAAAGACAGGTGGTGGTCCTGCACCCCCTCGTCAACAAGTTGGTTAAGTGAATAATACCCTCACGGGAAAATCGATATCTCTCTATGAGCACACTGTTGCGCTGAGCTAAAGGATCCTGTCTGTCCCGCAATATACGCTGAATTCTGAGGACTCGCCTTATCAATCTTGCACCTTCTGCAATGGGTGGCTCGCGTAAACGGACAGGACATGGCTGCGACAGACTTCCCAAATCCACCTTCGCTTTTATAGCCGTGGTCTCTCATCTTGATTACACGAAGTAATTTACTATTACTACTCTATAATATGAATTACATCTGAAATAATCAAATACATGAAATATAATGTTAATAGTACATTTCCCTTTTTTTAGGAAATGACCTGTATGTATCTGTATGGAATCAATAAATGGATCAAATACTGCATTATCTTTAGTTGCATTGATAATATTTATTTGTGGTAAAACAGTGGTAAAATGTCGCTGTTGCTTTTGTATAAATGAAGCGGCCATACCTGAGTGGCCGCGATCTAATCCTGTTTACATAAAGTAAGCCTGCTCCCGAGCAGGTTTACGCTTACGGATCTGTTGCCATGACAGCAAGTCCCGGATGAGCTTCGGAGAACCGAATGATCCAGGATCACGCGAAATCGTCAACAATCAAATCCAGCTAACTTACTTAGCGAGGTACGAAGAACGGACCCCAGGGGCCCGTTCTTCGTTCTTTCGCGTGATCTTGGATCATTCGGTTCTCCGAAGCTCATCCGGGACTTGCTGTCATAGCAACAGATCCGTAAGCGTAAACCTGCTCGGGAGCAGGCTTACTTTATGTAAACAGGATTAGATCGCGGCCACGCAGGTATGTCTGCTTCATTTATACGAAAGCAACAGCGATATTCCACCACTGTTTCACCATAAATAAAAAACATCAATGTAACTAAAGATAATGCAGCACCTGATCCTTTTATTGATTTCACACAGATACATACAGGCCATTTCCTAAAAAAGGGAAATGTACTATTAACATTCTATTACATGTATGTGATTATTACAGATGTAATTCATATTTCAGAGTAGTAATTGCAAATTACTCCATGTAATCAAGATGAGAGACCACGGCTATAAAAGCGAAGGTGGATTTGGGAAGTCTGTCGCAGCCATGTCCTGTCCGTATACGCGAGCCACCCATTGCGGAAGGTGCGAGATTGATAAGGAGAGTTTTCAGAATTCAGCGTATATTGCGGGATAGACAGGATCCTTTAGCTCAGCGCGACAGTGTGCTCATAGAGAGATATCGATTTTCCCGTGAGGGTATTATTTACTTAACCAACTTGTTGACGAGGGGGTGCAGGACCACCACCTGTCTTTTTTTGCTCTGCCCTTTTCTTGGTTGCTGTTATAAACAAACAAACAGATTATTTCAGGGTCTCTTTCCAAGAGACGAAAAGCAATATAAGTGATAAATATTACCATTCTGTAGAATATTCTTATATTTCACTTTTACTTGTTCCCATGTTCTAGTGGGTCCTGTTGTGGCTCTAATCTGAAAGGGGATATAATATAACATATTATAATGTAATATAATATTGGATAATATAGTGTAATATAATAAATCTACCCTACCGCCTACTGGTGTTGGCCAGAGGGGCCGATGGCGCGATATGGCAGCCTGGCTTCTGTCAGTCTGCCCCAGGGCAGCTGTGGCTACAACCGTAGCTTGCCTCCACCAGTGTGTGAATGTGAGAGTGACTGAATAGTGCTATTGTAAAGCGCTTTGGGTGCCTTGAAAAGCGCTATATAAATCCACTCCATTATTATTATTGTTATTATTAAATTACTTACGAGTTTAATTTGTCAGTAACTTTCTGCCAGCCCTCTCTCCTTGCTTTTGCAGCCTTGCGTTCTGATTAAACTCTGAAACTCCTGAAATCCCTCACTCAAGAGTTCTTGCTCTGCTGCCGAAAAATACCGAGCGCGCTCCTTCGACATTTTCGCCGACCAATCAGAGGGTTGCCGATCAATGTTTCTACTATCGATGCGTAGCTCCTTTTACGACACCCAGTGATCTCACATTACTTCATCCAGCTGTACTAATCGTCAACAACAGGTGTGTTCGGAGAACCGGAATAGCGAGCTCACGGTTAGCGCGATGATTTGGTCTTGGATGTGTCATTTGATCTTGGATGTAGTAAGCGACGTACGAAGAACGGGCCCCAGGTGTGTGTTACCCTGGTAACTGATTCAGGATTGAAGTTGATGCTCTTTCTGGAACAGAAAACCAGAGTGTCCCTCATCTCAGGGTTAACAAACTCAGAGTTGATAGCCAAACCTACTTCTTGGAATACCCACATGGTCACCTAAAACTTGGATGGTGTACATATCAATAAAAGAAGGAAAACTGTTGCATAAGCGAAAACCTGGAGCGATCCCTTATGTGTCAGGACTCGGAACAGTTAAGATACAGTTTCTCTAAACACAGCGTCTCTGTGTCTTTTAAACCCCAAAACATGCTGCGCCAAAAATTGGTGCACCCCAAGGATCGGGTCTCCCAACACAGAGTAATATAGTGTACGCTGTGAAGTGCCAGGAGGATTGCCATGATTTATACATCGGGGAAACCAAACAACCTCTGGCGAAGCGCAGCAGATAAAAGCTAACTCATCAAGTCAGGACTACGCAGTCTATACACACCTTCAGGCCAGTGGACGCTCTCTCAATGACTAGGATGTGGTGGTGGGAGGAACGTTGGTTTGGGCGGGCAGTCAAGGAGGCCATTTATATGAATGTATGGTGTCTTCACAATATGTATCTCTGCAGGGATGCTTCTTTTGGGAATTGTACCTTCAACCTGACTGTGTTGGACTGCTTGCAGGGCATCAGGAAGGTGAGGTCAATGTGCCATCTGCTGAGTACTTGAATTTAAAATCTTAGTTTATTGGATTAATGACATTTTTTTTCCCACAGTAGATGTTCCACACTACCTTTTTTCTGTGGGCATTATTACATTTTCTGTTTCTTTTAGTGTCTATAGTACAGTTTACACACGTTACATTTACATAGATCAAATTACTCTTGTAATGTACTGAGTTCTACATTTTTAACATTTTTGTTATATCTTTTATATCTTTATATTTTATTGCTCTGCTAGACCATTACTGCAGCCATCTTGCAGCTTTGTTGCCGATCTTTCTGCCCTCAGTTTTGTTCAGTTGTTTACAGAGTCAATCATTCTGTGTTTCAGGCTCTGCAGCATGGCTTCTTCAACTTCGAAACCTTTGATGTAGACGAGTACGAACACTATGAGGTATGAATACTCGCATCATTAGTTGCCAGCTGCTGCCAGTGTTTACTTCATCAAGTCAGTCTTTAAAATTCAGTTAGAAGGGAAAGGTTTAGAAAGACAAAAAACCAATCTGAGCCTGGTTGACAGTCATATAACTTTAGACATCAAAGCAAAACACGAAGAGAGTCACTCCAACTGAGTTCTGTCTACATTTGTAATGAATTAAGATTTGTTTTAAAGAAAGTCAGCACAAAATTAATACAAAATTCAGCGTGTTTGTTTTGCAGACTAAAAGGATGTTTACTATTCTCACATTATGTAGACAAAAGCACCCCTTGCAGAATGGAAAGAATCTTACTATAATGCGCAAAATCATGAGTTGAGCAAGCAAGCTTGGCACACAGGTACATCTTAGACCCCTGTCGCTTCTTATCTATATCAAATATTGATGGAAATACACATAAATATACAGGAAGTTCCCCTTGTTTACATAAACAGCATCTACCACTCGTATTTGTAATTTTCTTAATTTGATTAAGTACAGCTCTCAGGGCATTATTAGTTAAAATTTAACTGACAAATATTCAGGATTTTCATCATCATTTCTTGCGTAGAACTGCAAGCATTCATTCATGATCTAAATAATTGATAGTCTTGTAATTAGCTTTGTTAATCTGATGTGTGTGCTTGCTTTTACTCTTAATGGAATTTTGACTACATCTTCTAAAGGTTTTTTGTTGTTGTTTTTTGTTGGTAGCGCGTGGAGAATGGAGATCTGAACTGGATTGTACCAGGAAAGTTTTTGGCCTTCAGTGGTCCTCATCCTAAAACTAAAGTTGAGAACGGTGAGTGAACGTGTTCAGACTGCAGCCTGTCTTTTCTGCAATAGCAAGGGAGTCGGGTGTGTGTTGTTTTAGCATATATTATCATTTTCTTGTCTGTTATCAATTTTGTCGGTTGTGGAAATGGGGGGTGGAGTGGGTTTAGGGTTAGAACACCTCCAGTTACATCATCAGAAGGTCAGATACCATTACCTCAGCTGGGGTATACCAGGGATGAGCATTTAATTTACACGAATTATGAGGTCCGGGGCAATAAGTTAAACTCAGTCTGCTCAGTATTCATTTTGTGTCGTTATAAACTTTTACTGGTAAGAGTAGACGTTAGTTAGGCATTGGAAAATGTGAAATGTTTTTGCCCCCTGGTAGTGTCTCCCATGGCAAATTGAATGATTCAAAAACCCCTAAGAGCAGAAGATCCAGGGAACAGTTTACTTTGCCTGGGATAGGCTTACTAGGGCCCCCGCCCTCAAGCCAGGCCCAGGGAGGGTGCCTGAGGGTAAGCTACTGGTGGCTGGTCCATAGTCTGTAGGGCCCGGTCGGGCACAACCCGAAAAGGGACATGGGCCCACATACCTGTAGGCCCACCACCCGCAGAAGGCGACGTAAGCGTCCGTTGCATTGTGTGCTGTGTGGTTCCCGCTTGCAAACAGTCAGGTTCTTGTATTTTGTCTGCACATTGGGCCTCATAGTGATTGAAACACAGCTCTCTGTTCTCCACAAACTAAGCGCTTGGCTATGTTGCTGCCGATGACAGAAAATAAATACTTAAAATTCCATATTTTAGTAAAAACTAGAGATGGCACAATACCACTTTTTTATGTCCGATACCGATATCATAAATTTGGATATCTGCCGATACCGATATGAATCCGATATAGTGTTTTTTTTAATCAATAAAAATGTTTTTTTAATATCTTGCTGCATTTTGTATAAGTTCATACTCAAGTTTAAATAAACAACAACACTAAAGCTATTCTGTTATACCTGTATGTAAAAAAAAAATACACTGCACCCAAAATATTTCATAGTTCAGCAAAACTGATCAATCTAATAAACTTAAACCTACACCATCATCCCTATTCTGGTATTTTAAAGAGTACTTAGCAGAAATATTAAGCAATCTAACTAATAGGGTTGCAAACACCCAGCAAAATGATGCTTAATTGACGTAATCAACTTTAATCTGACGCAGTGTGAAAAAAAAAATGCACAGAAATAAATTATTTTTCAAGAATAATTAAATAGATTCAACATCTTTCTTCAACAGATTTGCAGACTGCACAGATGGTATCTTCCCAAAGGGAAAAATACTATCCGGTTGTTCAGTGATGACGCGACGAATCCTACTTCCGGGTCTAAAGTAGTCTGCGTTTAATATGGCTTTTGTGTTGTTAACATGTTTAATGTTATGTATTTTCTTCTATTTGATCTCAAAAAGCTCCTAAAACAGTCAGTGATCACTGTTGACCTCCCTCGGCTTTTATTACCACTAATCATTTATTTAAGCTCAGTTTTTAAAACCTTAGGATGAAACTACAGCCCAGCCCATGCAGCAGTATATGAATGACTAACCTTGTATGTGGATGGATCTCAGTTGTTCTCCTGGCTGAAGTTTGGTCCTTTTACAGCATCCTGCCATGCGATTACATTTGTTCCTGACCACCGACAACACTCACGTTAACGTTTATCGAGTGGGAAAAAAAGTTAGCTTGTTTATATTAAGCTAACATAGCTGTGTCGCTAGCGGTCACGTAGCACATCATTATATACCAGCTAGCCCAACTTCAGTAACCCTACAAACGTCACTGCTGTTTAGTTTTCTGTCTTCATTTATGCTGGAAGTGATAACAGAGCTGTACGTTTTAATTTGTTTCCAAAACCCCGCAGTCAGGACATGCTATATTGTATTTAGATAGAAGCTAGCGAGCTAACTCCCTGCTAACTTCTAACTCCGTTAAATGTCATAAATTCCGTTTTCATGGCTGCCTGGATGTTAAACTCAATTGTTACACCTGGTAGAGCAGAACGCTGATCATTTTATTAAAGATGAAAGACTTTAGACAGTTTTTCAACTCTCAGTAATGCCATAGTGATCGTTTGATATATGGACCTGCAGCGGAGTTTAGACCCAGACACGGCTAGTGACATCAGACTGAACAATCGGATAGCTTACTAGGGTATATTAGACTTAATAGTTACTATATACAGTAATGGACTTCCATACATTTTACATCAGATTAAAACTTTGGGTGTAAGATTCAGATAATTATTTATTAAAAGCTAGACATTTTAAATGAGAATAAGAAAGAAAAGTATGTCTTTGTGCCCCCTTTTCCCTGGCTAAACTTTGCTAGATCCGCCCCTGCACAGTTACCAGCCGTCAGCTGCGTAGAAAAGGATCCTGGTGTAGAAAGTAATATTAAATCAATTCTAACAGCAGCTTATCAAGCTTAAACGTGCTGCTGTTGTCCAGCCGCTGGTTTCCTCTTTCTGGCGCGAAGTGGGGCAAAAACAAAGAAGAGAGATGGACTTTTGACAGAAAAGCAGATCAGCTGATCATTAAGCAGTTTCATGATTGAAGTAGCAGCCGGAGAGGGAGGGAGAGAGAGGCAGTCGCTCCATATATCGGTTGTTAAGCTTAACGTGGGAATGCTTTACAAACATTCAGAGATGAACTTAAGCATTTGCTTTACTTCTCTCGGGGATAACTTCCTCGGAGATGAAATGCTGGTTTGGTAGCTATGCTACAAATACACACAGCCGCTCTATCACGTGATGCATACTGCTCCGACGTGCTATGGTTATGAGCCGAGTTACGCCGTGTCGCAAGTTTTTTGAGGTGCTTTTTTTGATATTTAATGGATCGGATTCCATTTTTTTATTTCTCTCCGATATCCGATCCAGTAATTTACGTCAGTATCGGACCGATACCGATACGTAATATCCGATCAGTCCATCTCTAGTAAAAACCCTACAATCATCTTCATGCATCCATTAGTAAATTAAAAAAACAGTAGTCTTCTATATAGTTGTGTTGTGATTTGCCACAGACTGCATGCAAACTGCATGAATGTATACTTATGTACTTTAAATCTTAATTTACCATTGACCTCATGTGGGCCAGTCAGCAACAACCAAGGGACTAGATGTGGCCAATGGGCCATACAATGCTCAGTTTGCCCTATTGGCTGGCTCAGCAATGCTCCTGTCAGGAGGAACTAGGGAATCCTATATAATAGGGTGACATGGTGTCAGATGACATTCAAAAATCTGGTCTTGCTACTCACAGATGTCCACAGTTGAGTGCACAATGCAGTCACTGGGAACTTTGTTATGCTGCAGTTATATACTAGTTCACAAGAAGTAGCAACACTGTCCTGTAGCTAGTGCTTGTATTGAGTGTGTTGAGTAGCAGATGCTACTACCACAATGCCGGATTTACACAGCTTACTATCCCCGTCTCTGGGTGCCAGGAGACTAGTGTTAAATGGTTGTAGCATAGGTCTGAAGTATGGCGGGGTCACATACTCCTCTCCTGCAAAAGCATCAGTGAAGTGTTGAAGGGGTTTCTGAACTGGCTTCTAAGTATCCTGGCATGTAGGTACAACAGGCCTGGTTTTCATGTTGACAGAGTGGGCTTTAGATGGGGTCTTTCCTATTCCAGGACCCTCTCTCAAGCATTAGCAGTCTTCATTCCCAGTGAGTGGCTGTCATGGTGATGAGCTGGTGGTGAACTGGTAGACATGGCATAGAAATGGCCTAGGCGGTATTGGCGTTGTCGTGTTGTGTCATGTTATGTAACACATAAAATAATAACCAAAAAAAAAAGTAAATCTTTCATTTTTATGTAAAAAGGCATATCAAAGACAAATTAACATCCACCTGCGTTTAGTAGAGATATATAAGTTTACTGTGTTGCATAATGTGTAAACTACAAATGCCTTTAGCTTGTAAATATTGGTGAAATCACCAGCAAATGAGGGAAATTGATGTTTCATTGTTGTTTTTTTTTTTTTTAATAGATCTTTTCAGTCTCTAATAATTATATATGTAAACTACATCCCTGTCTCTACTCAGCTGGGGCTCTCATTCACTCTTACAATCTTCAGTCTAACACACATGCACACACTCCAGTAGGGTTAAGTTTATGTTACGGAGTTTCACTTTTACAAGTTGTAAGCTGTGTACATCTAAACACTTCAAATAGATAAACTGTTGTTCATTAGCCATATTAACTCTTTAAATCTATACAACTTTTACTTTTTCATATTTTTTTTCTCATTTCAGACTAGTTGATTTAGTTTTGCACTCACCAATAGCCAGATGAAATCTGTAATTTTCTGTAAACTTCTAGCCTGCTTGTGCCACTGTGGGATCTTCCCACGTTATCAACTGCCCTGTGCTGTTCCCTGTTTGAAGCCCGGGGACAGATTTGGTCAAAAGGCTGTCTTAAAGAGAGATTGCTGATTGTTAATTGCTTTCATTCAATTCAGTTCAATTCAGTTCAATTAAATTGTATTTATACAGCGCCATATCACAACAACAGTTGCCTCGTGGTGCTTTATATTGTAAGGTAGACCCTACAATAATACATACTTAGTCTTAGTCTTGGTTAAGCGTGTAGCGGAGATCCATGCTCTCCCTCAGCCCTTCCCACTATGGTTTTCCATTTGGTACCTAGTTCATGAATCTATCTGAAAATGTGAAATTATACACTGTATGCCACTGGTTGGCTAGTCACTCGATGATCATAAGAATGACTCCTTCATGAAAATCCAAACTGCAAATTTTGAAACTCAGCAGCAAGGGAAATGGCCAAACCGAACAGCGTGGTCCCAGAGCCTGAAAAAAAAAAAAAGCAGGCGTACAATCGCCTCGACATCCGCCCTTGTTGTTGTTTTTGTGTCACATACAAATGATGCCACAACTTTTAAATGCATCGCTATAACGGTCCACATGTTGAGGTGGTATTCAATTTTAATGCAAAACAACGGAAACAGTAGAGTTGAGTCAAGTTGAAGGATGTCATTTACAAAAACATTTAGGAATATTTATGTTTAGTGCTAATAAAGTAAGAAAAAAGTTGGTAAATGATTATTTTCCTGGGATGAGTTGGGCTATTAATTCATATTTTGGGAGGAACTGAATTACATATCTATTCAAAACTGCCCGACACAGAAGTTGATCAGTTAAAATTTCCTGCAAGGGGAATATTCATTAAAATCTTGGGTAGATTGTTTGTCACCCAGTGATATTAAAGTGCTTATGCAAACAGGCCACCACAGCAGATTGGGGATCTGGCGTAAAAGTCTGCTGAGCTTTTTCATGCAACCCCAAGGAGTATTGTCTTTAATGGTCTCATGTTAGTGCAATAGTTTATGCACTCACCTATTTGGATCCGGGTTAGGTTGTACCTTTCTAGGTAAAGGAAGCAATAGAGCAGCAAACTTTTTTAATTTGTTTGTTTTGTTGCAATACAGACTGTTTTTTCGTCACCTCTGTTCTCCTTAGGAAATGAGAAAAGAGGCAAATACACCAGGATCAAATAAGCAGAAACAATATATAGTGTGTTCTGAGTCAAATGACAATGATGTGGCATCACAGCTTAACCAGGTGTGATTACATTGACCAAAGTCAGGCCAATCTAGTCTCCCAATGAAACAAAAGCATTAAAGGATGTAAGTGACATCTATTGTCATTCTGCCTACTGCAGGTTACCCTCTGCATGCTCCTGAGGCTTACTTCCCATACTTCAGAAAACACAATGTGACTACTATCATCCGTCTTAACAAGAAGATCTACGACGGCAAACGCTTCACTGATGCAGGCTTCAGCCACTACGACCTTTTCTTCCCAGATGGCACCACACCCAACGACATCATCGCACGGCGCTTTCTGCACATCTGTGAGAATACAGATGGTGCTGTGGCCGTCCACTGCAAGGGTATGTCCTGTCCTCTATCTGGTTCTGATGGTGTAGATGTTAATTAATATTATTAATAATTCAGTGTCCAACCTAAACCCCCCCTGGTCAGTGGCTCACAGTTTTACTGGCTCATGGCTTTTTATTAACTTGTTTAAAACAACAACAACAACGACAACAAAAAACCTTTAACACAGTATTTTATATTATTTCACTTTCAATCTGAAAAAGTATTATTAATACCTTGAAATAAATATGATGTAATACACCCCATGCCCCCCTTTAGACTTACCCCTGTTTGCTGCAGGTAAGGCTATATGTAATATAGGATAGCTGGCATCAGCCTTGAGCAGGCAGGATGAATAGTTGCAGCCCTAATATTTACATTTTGGAGCAAGTGAGGGGATTTTTCCAAATCCCTAGACCCTTCAGGCAGGCTTTAGAAGTTTAACGGAAGTGACCAGTCTATTGTCATTTAGCATGTGGTACTTATCTGCAGTTGGTGCAGTGAGTTAGTGGTGTTCATCCACAGAGTTTGTGATAGAAACAAACAAGAAGGCTGTTTGAAGTCTACTTTAATACTTCTCTGCTGACTCACTGGTTCACTTCTTTGTCTTTCTGTCAGCTGGTCTGGGCAGGACAGGAACTCTAATTGGCTGTTACCTGATGAAACATTACCGCTTCACAGCAGGTGAGGCCATCGCATGGATACGGATCTGCAGACCGGGCTCTGTGATTGGACCCCAGCAGAACTTCTTAGAGGAGTAGGTCTCTCATTATTTGTTTGATTGTATCTCTGCCTTTCATTTTTGTGAGTGTTTTCATCTTTCAGAAAGAACAACAAACAAATTCTTAAGATGTAAAGATAAACAGTATTCAGTTGTATGATGCATCAAACTAACTTGCTTCCAAAATTTACTCATATTTTGTCCACAAAAATCTATAGTTTTGGTAAGTTTACATATACTCACTGTGGGCATTAATGCTACTGAAATTCTGGGCTTTTAATTGGTTTTTTTTGTAGCTGCTCTTTTTGCAGGGTGGAATGATTATATAGTCATACATCGTATTTAAAACAAACAAAAAAAAAAGATTGGGGGCACAGGTTTTAACCATCTAGCTGTTGAGTTCGGCTGAAGCTGAATAATTTTGAGGTAGTTGTTGTTCTTCTTCCTCTTCATTATATCCTCTTTATGCAGTGCACCAGTACCACTGGCAGGAAAACAGCCCCAGAGCATGATGCATGAGCAGCACCATGCTTGACAGTTGGTAGAGTGTTCTTACGTTTGAAACACTCACCTTTACTCCTCCAAACATATCTCCTGTCATTTTGGCTAAACAGCTCAGGCATTTTCTCATCTGACCATAAAACATTTCTCTAGAAGGCATTTGGCTTGTCCATGTGCGCAGCTGCAAATTGCAGTCAAGCTTAAATGTGTTCATTTTGAAGTGAGTGCCCCGGTCGGCGCCCTCCAAGTCCATCCTGAAGCAATACTCACTTCACTGTGGATAGGGACACTGTGTTTAACTTGGTGTTCCACCAGTTTCCTGTCATCTGAGGGTGAGAGCTTGGCTCGTTGTCCAGACCTTGGCAAAGTGTCGGCCAATCCAAATAAGTTGTACTTTTGTACAATTCTTGGAAGTAATGCTCTTGGGAAGTATGGTTCTTTAGAAAGTGGTCCGGAAAAATATCTTCCCAACTTGTGTAAATCTACAATTCTCCTTCTCAGGTGATCCTGTCCTTGTGATATTTCTTGGTAGTAGCAGGACCTGGTGATCTTGTTCATGTTTCACAAAGATGAAATTAGAATTGAATATCACTCCCAGGTTACTGACAGCTGATTTTGCATAAACTGATAAAGGAAAAATGAAGGACTTGATGCTTGGATGCAGTTTATCTAAATGAGTTTTTTTTTTTAATTGCACACATCCATTCCCTAATATAAGATAAGACAGTTTCAGCAGTGTCACCACTTACAATGTCATTTTACCATAATAAGCACAGCCTCAGTGCTGTGAACCTGAATGTTTTTTTTTTGCAACTATAAAAGGTAACTTTGAGATGGGTCAGTAATTGTTGTGGTCAGAGGGATCAAGACCATATTTTTTGATGATGGTTGTACCGAGGCTGTCTTTAAGTATTCTGTGACACTGCCAGTGGAGAGAGAACTGTTAATTATTGAAAGTAACCAAAGGCCTGTGACATCTAAAACTTCCTAAAGAAATTTTGGAGGAGCCTCTATGTATTATTTTGATTCTGTGTGCATTAAAGAAAATCCAAAATAAATTCAAACTTGTGCACCAAAATTATAATACAGTAGTAATACAGTCATAAAAGATGTCTGTATTATTCCACCATCCAAAAATACCTTGCCATCCATGCATGTGATTTGTGAAAGTAAAGCTCTGACCACCACTGTATCTACTACATAAGTGCAGTGTAAAAAAAAGAAATAAACAAAAAAACTTAACTATCGTTTGGTGTAATGCCAGTTTGTACCACAAGATGGTGCAACAAGTTAATGTCACATTCATTCTGCCCTGTCTACATGAATGATCATGGGTTACGGGTATTCTAGTAAATGTGAGAAGCACATGAAAGTAAATGGAAGGTGTGATACTCATGACCACCAGCACTGACTCCCAGAAAGAAACCAAAAGAAGTGAAACAGAAAATATTGTGATAGTAATATCATTGTTTTTTCAAGAAACCTTCTGATAGGGCAGTCGACTTTTAAATTTAGTTTTTAGAAGATTTAACTGGTGACTTCTATATATTCAGTTTTATGTTTTGGTGACTGTTGAAAATAAAGTTAATTTTATAGTGCCTCAAAATAGCCTCATCTTGTATTCATCCTGCATCTGAAACAGTGCAGAAACTACTTTAATGTGTGACCATCCAGTTTTGCTCTTAAAACCTGTAATCAGATTACCAAGTTACTGCAGGCTAGTATAGAGCAGCTCAGTTTGTTTTGTCATTAGGCCAGTTTCTGTGAACACATGTTTGAACGTGGTGAAGATTTCAATCAGCACATAGTGGTTTGAGTCTGAGCTTTGCAGCTACTCAACAAACAGCTAAAATTTTTAACTGCTTAAGTTTTTTAATTGGTGATCTATCACTTCAAAAACAATGTTTTATCCAGTGTGACAAATTAATGTTTTGATAGTAGTTTGCAGTTCAGGGTCCTGTTGTCTGTAAGTTAGTTAAAACAAGGCTCAGTTTGTCCTAGTTATATTGATCCTGTTTATTTGGTTCTTCAATCCAATAAGCCTTCAAACCCACAAGAGATTTAAGATTAACCAAATAGGTTTAAGGTTTTGTTGCTATATTAATCAGTCAAACAATAGCTTCAAAGAGCAAAAAAATCCAGGGTCTGGCTGACAACAACTTGATCCGACAAAAACATTAATCCAAATAAGTTTTTTATTTGCATGAGACAAAATTTAAGCAACTGTGAAGCAGGATCTTTAAAGAAAACCAGTTGTAGCATTAACAGTGATGTGTGTTTGCATTAACAGGAAGCAGGCAGCGCTGTGGTCACTCGGAGACAATCAGCATTCCCAAAAAGCCAAGCAGGAGGAGAGGGCTATGCCTCATCTCATCACCAGTATGGAGGAGCTCACATTAAACCCTACACACATCAACACAAACCCTAACGGCAACTTGTCCAGATCGCAGAGCTCCGACCAACTACATGAGGTAGGACACACACACAGAACAGGCACATTGAAGAAGCTTTGTGTATGTGACCTGAAATTGTCCTTACCCTCAAACTTCAGCATTCATAATCATAATCAAAACACATTATGTGATCTTTATCAAAAAAAAGTCTTGTTTCTTCTTTGTGTTTCTTATCACATTACAATATTTCAAAGAAGTGAATTTTCTGTGAGGTAATTCAACAAACTCCCAAAATATTGCACAATTAAACATTGAAAGCTGACCCGCTTTTATTTAAGTGTATTGAGCTTTAAAGATTGAACTGGTGTTTAGTTTTTGCATGACTATTTAGTCTTAGGCTTTTCTTGGTGATAGGATTAAGTTGGAAACAGGAGCTTTGTCTTTGACTAATGATCGGTCAGGATCAGCTATTTGTTGATGGTTCACTTTTAATCACAGGTATTAGGCACTCATTGATATTCTTTACTTGCCGTTAGTTTTTCTTTTACATCATTATGATTATTCTGTCATTATTATTGTTAATAGCATCATTTATTTATTTATTGTGAGTTTATTCTTATTGTGAAGTGCAACATGTCAGCTGTCATACGGTATTTTTGTTTTATGTTTCAGGGTGACCAAACAGACGGTGGGCTGGGCCTGACTCAGGGAGACAAACTGAGAGCCTTAAAGAGCCGACGCTTCCCCCGTCCAGCCACTACTAGTGCCCTGAGGTACTAAAAGCTAACCAAATCAGTACCACCCATTACAGCTGAAACTTTTCAGTGGGAAAAATGTGATCTCTTCAAACTCAGCTGACTGCACATTTCCCCAACTTATAAGCGGTACATTTGCATAATGGTTGAAACTAGCAACACTGACTAACTAATGGGCTGTGAGGTCAGTCTGATGACATGATTTTAAGTCACGAGGAAGGAGGAGAAAGAGAGAGGACTGCTCACTTGTTGTTATTCATGAGAAATATTTTTAGTTCAGTGCCAAGCAATTTTTCAGGATTGGGAGTCCTTCCTGCAATCAGAACACACACTTAGGGCCGTCCGAAAAAAGCCTGCCATGCAGCGATGATATTTTTGTGAGAGGGTCCCCAAAAGTTGATTCTGTTCATCTAGACGTAGCGTTTTCAGTGGGAGAAACGTTTCGTCACTCATCCAAGTGACTCAGCTGACTGAGGGTTTCCCCAAGCTTATAAACAGTACATTTGCATAATGACTGAGACTAGCACCACTGAGGGAACAATGGGCTGGGAGGTCAGTTCCTTGATCATATGCAAATTCTCAGTAGCATGGGAAGAAGAGCCTTCAGTTGCTCTGCTCCCAGGCAGATTATAACCTTGAAATTGGTTCAAGTGTGCATATTGAATGTGCACTTATTGTTTATTTTGTCTTGTTTTTAAGTGTTCTTCGTGCTGTCTTTCTTCTGTTATGTTTTTTACTCTTATTGTGAAGTGTCCTTGGGTGTCTTGTAAGGTGCTTTTAAATAAAATGTATTATTATAATTATGTGTAGACACAACCCTGGTTCAGCCTTTGAGTTAGGTGTGTTAATTTACGCTTAAACGATTCATAGTTCATCTTTTTCTAGAGCTTGTGACAACTACAACCACTTTGGGCGATATGAAGCAGGAGTGGCCAAAATAAACTTTCTCAGCTTTCACACAAGCAATTGAAGTGACTACCAGTGAAAGCAAAGGATATTGTTGACTGAGATATGAGGGGGTGGTAAATTTATTAAAGGGTTAACTAGTTAACCAAAGTCTGGAATTTCCACTGGCAATCAAGCATCACCTTAAGGCTGTGTGCACATTGCTTTATATGTGGACAGAACATCAGAGCTCCTGGGATCCTAATGCAGTTCCTGAGATATTAAATTGGTTTCACTTAAAGGAATAAGCTACAAGAGACTGTTGCACTGCAGTAACTCACAGGCTCTTTTCGGGTGGCCCTAAGTGTGCGTGTTCTGATTGGAGGAAGCGCTCCGAATCCCGAAAAACTGCTTGGCACTGAACTAAAAGGATTTCTTATAAACCAGGACAAGTGAACCCTCCTCTATCTTTCTCCTCCTTCTTCTTCCCCTGCTCCCCCTGCTGAAAGGTGGCAGGCTGATTTTTCAGGCACTGGCATGTAGTCTGTCTTGTCTTAAGTTTTGTTCGGAGCCTGCATTGACAAAGATGTCATTTTTCAGAGTGGAGGAGATAAATGTGCACAGTAGATCAGCCTCACAGCCACTCAGGTACAATTCCTCACAGCCAAACATATTACAGATTTCCTCAGAGCACACGAGAACATAGGAATCGTGACTTTTGATCACCGTCTCTGTGTCCAGACTGTCAATGGGCGCCACTTCCCCACTCAAGTCCACCAATTACCCGACATCCTCCAATTCTGCTGCAGCCAAGAGGATCGGGAAGAGTCCATCATCAACAATGTCAAACATCAGGAGGTCAGTGATCCCAAAGACCTCCTTTATCACACCCATCTCACCTACATCACATCACCTCCTTTATAACCTACTGCTTTTCATCTTAACTCACTACTCGCCTCCTTTCTTGCTCTGTAGTACTAACACACTACCTGTAGTACCTGTCAGAAGTACTAGTGGCTGTAGCTGAAGTGGTAGAGCAGGTCACCTACTAATTGGAGAGTTAGTGGTTCAGTCCCATCTGCTCCAGTCTGCATGCAAGATACTAACCCATGCAACACCAGATTTCTTTAAGGCACTTGATCAACAACTCTTAGGGTTGTCTGATGCAGTGAAGTATGAATTTGTGTGAATGTTAGATAGAAAGTGTGTGTGAATGGGTGATTGAGGGAAGTTGCGAAAAGAGTGCCCTGAGTAGAAATGCGCTATACAAGAACAAGTCCATTTACCATTTAGTAAAAGTACTTGGCTGATTTTCAACTTGTGTTTTAACAATGGCTGATTGAACCTGATCTGTTTCAGGTTTAAACTGGATTTAAATGGATTTAAGCAAAAGTAACAGGAATCCGGTTTAAACCAGTGTAGTCACCTTTACACTGACTTGAATTCAGATGGAGCAGACGTGTTGCATTATATTAGCTGTATTGTTTGTTGTAATAATTTGTTTGTGTGTTGTTTGCCTGCTGACTTTAGCTCAAATCTGAGCTCTCGATTGGCCAGCTCTCTCAGTGATCTGTACGCTGCTGACACCGAGAAGGACAGGAAGACTCTGTACTCCTCTCTTCCTCCCCCGTCCTCGTCTTCTATCTCTCTAAGCTCCCCGTCATCATCTTTTACTCCACCATCTGTCTCTCGCTATGGTAATGGACCTCGCAGCATACAGCATGAAGTCAACAACAACATCAGTCTATACAGCAGCCCTGCAGTGCCCCCTACAGGAAAAGGTCTGGTTCAACCAGGGCCTCAGGACTTCAGGCCCTACAGGGGCCCTGGGCCCTACAGTGCAACAAAGGGCCCCTCAGGACGCTACCTGAGCCGCTCCATACCTGTAAGTCCTCTGACACAGCAGCAGCTTGGCCCCTCCCTCTGTGCTGCTTGGCTTTCTGTTTTCATGTCACTAACACACTGGATGCGACAGCAGATTTCTTTAAGCCACTTGAGCAGCAACTCTCAGGGCTGCAAAATGAACAGACTTTGATTGGTGAACTTCAGCCATGACATAACCAGGTTAATGACCTGCTACACAAAATAGTTTTGGTCTTTACTGTTTTTACCCTGCATAACCCGCTAAACAGGGTGACTGATTTTTTTTTTTTTTTTTTTTTTAGATGAGTCGCTCAGTTCAATCTCGTAAGGCCCTGGTTTATTTGATTGACAGGTGTACAAATTACCTGTAGTCACAGAATAGCTCCTTTCCATAGTTTTTGTGGATTATTTAGTACTGACTACTCAGTATATCTGTGCATAGTGTATGCATGCTGGCTCAAGAAAGGGCCAAACAACTAAATCTGAGGATGAATGACATCACAGGGATACATACTTTTACATACAGTCTGCAGGTTTACAACAGCAAAATATGAAAACAGAGTTCAATCTTGTATCTGTGACTTCTGTTTTTTTTTTTTTCTCTTTCTCCCCCCAAGTGTGTTAATAATGTACAGTAGTTGCTCTGGAACATTTTGACTCTCAGCCAGTAAAAACACAGCTTGTTTAATAGCTGATGTTTCCAGTGTGTTTCTGATCCATGACCTCTGCTGTTTTCCGTTTCCTTCTCTGGTGTTTCTGATCTGATCTGTGTTCTGACTGGACAGTAACGACAAGAACAAGGGATGAAATGATAAGGTGTCACCACTTCAAAATAGAACCCCATAAAAAGCAACACGGTATAGGATGAGCTGCTGAGACACAGAAGCCTCAAAGCCTGTAAATAACTCAGTAGTCTGTTAACAGATAAGTAATTGACAACCATTCTAATAAATATGTTTATATGCCTTATTGTGTTTTATGTTCTCCTAAAGATTTAATATTTTGTACATATTATTGACAAAGATTTACAATTATTAATACAATATGCAATATTTGCAGGTTGAAAAACACCTTGTCATTAGAACTCTTGTTTTGTTTGTTTGTAATTTTGGGGGTTTATAAGTGGGATGTTAATGATCCTCTCGTTACTTTTTAATATCATGATGAACCTGGTGAATCTCTGTTTTCTAAGATGTTGTTTAGTTAATGGAGGTATGAATCAGTGTATTTCTGTGGCGTTTCGCTCCTTATGTTTCTCTCAGTCATGTTAACGTCACTCACACTAACACAAAGCTGCTGCTGAGCTGAGGAACCTGCTCAGATCTCAATCCCTAAAAAGAGTTAACTTATTGTAACTAAAGTTTGAATATAACACATTTGAGAGGGGGTTGTAGGTGTTACTTGGATATGTTTGTGTGTGAACATGTAGTCGTCAGCGCTTGATGACAAATCCAAATTCAATGATCTAATTTTTTTCAGAGGTTTAACAACTGGATACAGCAGGTAAAATGATCATTGAATCATTGAACATGCCACCAGTTTTCTAAGTAGATATATTTCTAAAGGTGTTCTTGAGATGAAACTCTCACCTGATGTCAGTAACAACACATTCACTCCACACATGCAAAGAAATCCAACTACATATGTCTATGTCCGAGTCTGTGGAGCTTGGAAAGAGAAGTGACTGGACTTTAAGTTTCTTGAAGACGTTTCACCTCTCATCCATGTAGCTTCTTCAGTTCTAAAACCAAATGGTGGCGAGTCTCAGGTATTTAAAACCTAGTGGGTGTGTCTCTTAAGAGGGTCATTGACCCACTATTGATCATGTCCGTCATCACATGAGCCAAGGTGTCAAAAAGGATGTGGGTTATTATTAGCAGAGGTTTCGGGGGAAACCATTGTGATAGCTCGTCCTATCGTGTAAACTATTGACACCTGATGCAAGATGTGAGTGGGTGTTAAGGCACCTGGGAAAGGATCTCAAAACTACATTGTTGGTGGCAGACAGTTGGGGTCCTAAACCACCCCCTCTGTTCTAGGATGGTCGTTCACAGTGGGCATAAACGGCCCCTTTCACTCCTCTTTCAAACTGTCTGTCTCCTCTGTCCAAAATATGAACATTGGCATCCTTGAAAGAGTGACCTTTAACCTTTAGATGCAAGTGTACAGCTGAGTCTTGTCCTGTCGAAGTGGCTCTTCTATGTTGTGCCATGACTTTGTGAAGTGGCTTAGTTTGTGTTTGGGAGTTTTGTCCTTGGGATGAACCAGTTTTTGTCTGAGGGTGCGGTTGGGTCTGAAGTACATTGGGAGGTCATACTTATGCAAAATTCTCTTGGGTTTCTCTGATAAACCTGCTACATAAGGGATGACCATGTTGTTCTGTTTGTCATTTGACCTTTGTTTTCTGTGCATCTTTCCTGATTTGATGAAAGCCCAGTCGGGATAACCATGTGTTTTAAGAGCTTTCTTTACAGGGGTGTGTTCCTTTTCTTTCCCTTCTGCTTTAGAGGGAATGTTTTCTGCTCTGTGCTGCAGGGTCCTGATTACTCCCAAGTTTGTGATGAGTGGTGTGAGTCAAAAAGTAGATGCTGGTCTGTGTTTGTTGACTTACAGGGAAACCCACACACACAGAACTGAAGAAGCTTCTCAGATGAGAGGTGAAACTTCTTCAAGAAACTGTAGATATCCATACATTATGTGTAATAATAAGAAATGATAAAGGAAAAAGTATTGAACTGATTAAGAAAGGGAGGTGCAAACAGGCATGGAAAGTCATGACAGCAGCTGAAATCTGTCAGTAATTAGAAAGCAATCCTACCACTTAGTGCAAACTAATATCAGCTGGTTCAGTGCCAACTGATGGCCTATGAAAAGGTGTCTCATACAAAAGAGTCATACAAGAAACATCTCAAGAGGGGTAAAACATACTGATGGCATTGGCTACATTAGAATTTTTACACTGCTCCAGTGAGTTCCACTGAGCACTGCTGAAGTAGAAAGAACATCATTACACAATAAACTAACCACGACCGGGTGGCCTCTGCAAGATTTCAGACAGAGGAGGGGAAAAAAATTCTGTTGTCAAAGAGCCCTAACATATTCTGGTCAGATGAGACCAAAACTGAACTCTTTGAATGCCATAACACACACCATGTTTGGAGGCCAAAAGCCGCTGCATATCACCCCAAAGACAACAGTGAAGTTTGAAGGTGGGGACATCATGGTGTGGGGCTTTTAAGTATACGGCAGTGGCAGTTTTCATATAATTTGAAGGAAGAATGAGTGGAAAAATGTACCAAGACATTTTTGATAAAAATCTGCTGCCAGGATGATGAAGATGAAACGATGGTGGACATTTCAGCAAGACAGCGATCCCAAGCGCACAGGCAACAAAACTCTGAGCTGGTTTCAGAGAAGAAAATAAAGCTGCTAGAACGGCGCAGCCAGTCAGCTGACATGAATCTGATTTCTAGAATAGAAATGTGACCTCATGAGGTGTGATCACAAACTCCTAAGGCTCTGCACATAAAACACAAGACCTTGTCCCTCCTGTAAAGCGTTTGTTACCTCAGAGCCTGAGTGAACAAGTCATTTAAAACTGGATCCAGGAATTTTAGGGGAAAATGCCAAGTCAGCAGTTTACAAGCTAATTTCCCTAACATGCTGACATGTTAGGGAAATTAAGAACAGTTGAACCAGCAAAAATGAATGTTTTGGAGCAGTGGGAGGTCACAGTGCTGACCTCCTACTTATTGAGTCCTAAGAAGGCTTACTAATCAAGACATTGCCAACTATTGATGAACTGAAACAGTTGTAGGAAATAGCAGGAAATGGCCCAGAATTCCTCCTCATGACTGTGCAAGCACTATAATCAGCTACAGGAAGCATCTGATGGAGATGCTAACAGAGGTTGTACGAGTTAGTAAATTTAAGGGTTCACTTCGTTTTTTGCTGCATGCACTGTGCGTACAGCTTGGTTTCTGAACGGTTCATAAAATTGCTGCTTAGTCAAGGTATTTGTGAGGGCTTTAGCATACATGTAGGCATACATGGACAATGCAATGCTACTGTGACAGAGACTATATATGTTAGCCACAGCACAGAGAAATGTTGTCATCATATATTTCTGATGAAAAACGTTGTCAATTGTGTAAAATGAGCTTTCGGAATAATGAAAAACTGAGCAGCAGTGTTTGCTGTAAAAATGTGGGCATGTCTGCAGAGGCACAGTGCAAATGGTCTGCAGGGAGCAACACACAAAGACACTGTAGATACAACTCTGTTTAGACACCTGTGTGCTTATTTTAGTTTTACACAATCAGAAAATTCCTATGTCATTCCCAGCTACATTTATGTTGGTGCTTGTGACATGAACCAGCTCCAGAGTACTGTAGAGCTTTTCATGTTTTCAGCTATGACTTTAGAAAGAACTCTGAATTTTCTTGTACAGACTTTTAAGGTGGCCATGATGTTTATGATCAATATAGATTGTAAATATCATGATGAACAACCGTGCATAGGACAAAAGTTTTAGATAAGCCCTGGTTGTTATAGTTGATTTCATGGATGTCAGTTCATCTGGAATTCCTTTTCCCACATCGTCCCCCCACAGGAAATGCAGGGATCACATTTGCCCTAAAGTTAATCACACTGTTTGTTTTCTCTTTCAGTCTCTTCAGTCCGAGTACATCCAGTACTAAAAATACCCGACTGACCTGAAGACATTTTTCTTTTATTTTTTTCTCTCCACAACCCGGCTCCTAAATTGGATGTTCAGAGGGAACCTTCAGATGTTTTCTCTGTCAGGACTGAATCTCCTGTGAGGTGATGGCTGCTTGCTCGTCAGACTGTGTAAATGAGCTGTCTGTAAATAAATAGTCCGCACACATGAAGATATATTTACATGGAAAATATATATTTTATATTTGTGACAGAAAGTTGTATTTTTGTTTTAATGATCAGTGTAACTTTTTGGTAAAGTGAGGGATCAGCTGATGACAATTTGCTCTGTCATCATGGTTACAGTATTTCCGTCCGGCTTCTGATAGGTTAAACAGCATATTGTTTGGTTGATGTGACGATCAGCCCTCTTTTTTTGTGTTTGTGTGTCTAATTTAATCTAAAGGAATACCATTATTAATAGCAGAAGAATAAGGGACCCAAAAACAGAATGTCATTAACTAAGCTCAGGGTGTTAAAGTGAGAATGGGTGTGAATGTGTGCGTTGTCTTAAAGAACCAGTTTAGTTTTTTAGCGTCGTGATTGTAAAATGAAACCTCACCTCTCTGAATGAATTTGTCAGACTGAATTAAAAGTTTGGTAACAAGGAACCATTTCCTCTTCAGTACAGTTTAGAACAACAAGAAGTTAATTCAAGGCCAGATTTCTGATATTTTGGCTGCCATCTTTTATATACAGTCTAACCAGTAGAGCTGGAAGGGAAACAATTTGAAGGAGATGAACAGTAAATGGAAAATGATTAGCAGGCAGTGAAGCATGTGGTTGTATAGTAATGAGTTTAAGCTGTGGGATCAGGGTTAGTTTTAGCCATGTGGACAGCAGACATGCTCTTTACACTAGAAGCACTTGTTGCTGTGAGTAGCATCAGGAAGCACTTTGTGTTTAGCTAACGGTGTCAGTCTGAAAAGGGATTCGTGTGTTTATGTGGCCCGTAGAGTCCTCTTTTTAGGAATGACTGTGATCTTCTGTGTTGTTTTATGTGGAAAATAAGTGTTCTGTATTATTCTAAAGGTTATCGCCACAGGAACTTTCTCTAGGAAACAGGAAGTTAAACTTACTTTCTCTGCTGGTACGTCCTCCGAGAATGAGCCTCTAGATTAGAACACCTTTTACCTCCGGAAGCCCCCGTGACTTTTTAAAGGTTTATGAAACATAGAACCTTTTCTAGCACCTCAGGATTTTATTTTAATTTAAACCTGCAAAAACCCAAAAGTTGGACTCCTGTGTAAAATGTAAATAAATACAATACAAGGATTTGCAAATGTGGTAAACATTCTTTATTCTCATTATAACACAGAAAACATGTCTGAGAACATGAGCTGAGAAAATGTGCCATTTAAGAAAAATATGAGCAGTGTCAGAAAGAGTGGGACACTTTCACATTTCCCACAGTGCAGCATTCCCTCTGCTTCCAACAGCACTCCTCTCTCCTCTGGGAGAGGAATGTTGTGCCTTTCTTGTCTGACAGAGGGTTGTAGCTGCGCAGCACTGCAAATCATTGCATTGAGTCTTTATTTACATTTCCAGAGTCCTAACAGTGTCTCTGTAATTTGGATTGTGCATAGATTAACAACTTAAGCCACATACAGGAGTGAGAAGGTGTCATTGCACCATGTCATTTCTATCTGTGTGCAGAGGACTGAACGTGAGACCACATCAGCTGACTAATGTGCTTCACCTTACTGCTGCTTTTAGCCTGCTGTAAAATACAGGTTTCCTGTGTAACTTTCCTGAAGCTTGATGACGACATCAGCACAGTGTTGTCTTCCTTTGCACTCATGGTGTGTGTAAGAAATGAGTTTATATGTCATTTGTGGCAGATTCCTGGGTCTTTAACATTATCGTGGGCAAATCAAATCAAATCTCCAGCTACCAACCCAGAGAGATCACTCGTTCTGAAATCTTTATTCGATGGTGATGTCCCTCGGTCACATGATGGTTTAACTAAACTGACGTGAAGTGCCTTAAATATCTCATGGATGAAAGTCACATACAGTTCTGAACAAATTTATGAGACCACCGGTTTTACACGAGAACAAATATTTCAGAAGTTTTTCACAAACTTGTTTAAAACTGAAAATTACTGAATTCCCTGAAGTTTTTATACCCAAACTTGATCCAGGACAGTGGACTGTGAATCGAACGTAACGTCCAACCACTGAAACGAAACTAATTTTTCTGTTTGCAAATGCATATAAATAAGTGTAATTTGGCATCTGGATCAAAAGGTAATTTTATTAATCTCATTTCTAAGAGAGACGTGGGAATAATTATGTGCTTTACTGTTTTCTGCTTTTTTTTTTTTTTTTGTAAAGCAGAAAACGTGAAAAGTCATGGATAACAACATTAATGATATTTTACAACATTAAAAATAAGATTTTCTTTATAGAGCTTGGTCAGAGTTAGGTCGACTGTGACAAAACGTGCACTAGATGGTGGTCTGATACATTTGTTAAGCACTGCAAATATAAGCAATGCACAGAAGGTTTTTATTTTTGCACAACTTGTTGCTGTTATGAAGAAGTGGAAATGGATGTCTGATGTGTATTTAATGTCTTACTCAAGTGTTTTACTGAGGGAACGTTTAAAAAACATTGTAGTTTTTTTGTCTTTTAGCAGAATTTCTGTCTGAGCAATAACAGGAAATAAAACAATTCCTCCAACTCTGAGTTTGTTCTTGATCTGTTGATGCTACCAGAGTGTGGTTTGGAAAAGTCTGGAACAGGACAAGTCCAGGTCAGACCCAAAATCGAACCAGTCTTAAAGCTTCGTTTAACCCTTAAGTTTTGTGGCTCTCTCCCAGTGGAGGTGCATGTCAGATGTTAAGACTCTGAGGTGCCACCTCCTGAGCGCAAAGATGTTTTTCAAGTTCAGGGACAAAAACGTCCTGCAGTGCTCGCACGTGTGCTCCCCCTCTTCTGCACTCGGTCCAAGCAGCGCTTTCACCTGAGCCGTGCCGCTGTGTCTGCAGCTCACCGTGTCCTGTTGTGTGCTGCATTTGAGAATAAACTTTTCTGGACATGACCAACCTGATTCTCTACAACATTAGTTCAAGTGTAAAACACACATGTATACAAACAAAAGCCAAATCCAGCATAGAAGAAGCTGTCCCAAGTCCAAGACTAGTGTGGGATGAACGACCAAAGAAAGGAAAAGTGCAACACAAATAACAGAAGTAATGATTCAGTAAATCAGAGGTCAGATATCTCAGAGCCTGGGGTGGGGGGCTGTCCAGACCTCTGACTTCATCAGGAAAAGGACTGATTAGTCTGAATCCTCATCAAACTAATCAATACTAAATCACAGAGGCTGTAAATCACTCAGGCTGTTATCACTCAGTCTCCAATCATTCAATCAGTCAGAGGCCCCACAGTGACAGCTTCACTGTATTCAGCTCATTTACTCCTTAATGTGATTCAGCATGTCTGCTGCTGCTTCATCAGCTCACTGACAGCAAAAGGAAATATTTGACTTTAAATGTATCTAAGTGAGAAGGCAGCATTAAAGTGAATTCATGTTCACGTTTTGTTAAAAGGTGTTAGTCCCAGCTTTTAGTCAGCCCAATAATACCAGAAAACATACGGCATGTTTTCTTCTTTTTGGGATTCAGCCCTAGGAATTTCCCTCACAGGACACAAAGTTCCTGCTGGGAGTCCAAGAAAAATGCTGATTTGTCCTTCTTACTATAACCACTGCCTGTGACGCTTCTGTCTTGTGGGTGATTTAATGTCACTGAAAAAGATCGTTGAAAAAACATCAGATTCACATAAATAGAGAAACCAAAAGTGAGAGGAAAATAACCCAGGTGTGAAACGAGGAATATCACATGTAGAGAATAACTAAATTTAACAGGAGCATGACAGAGAAAAAGCTGGAAACGTGTAGTGCACAGACACGAGGAGAAAGAAAAGGCGACAGGATGTTGAAAAGAGAACGTGAGGAAAGGCCGAGGAGCAGTGAACACAGCACAAAGCGACGGTGAAGTTTTCCCGCTCACCGCGTGTCCCGCAGAGGGCGCTGTTGCCCGCGCGTGCACACACAGGCGCTTGGAGCTGGATGACGGGAGGGGGCGTTTGCTTCATCAGCCCTGTTTAGGGCTTCAGAGACCCTCAGTGATTCATCATTGCCGGATTTTCTGCTTCAGATCCCGAAACTCCGAGAAACGAGACGCTGCTCTGTTTGTTCACGAACCCATCCATCCGCCCATCATCCATCCATCCATCAGCGTGTTTGTAGCCTCAGCAGAGAAGATGGATCTTCTGTGTGTCCGCAGGCTCTTTGTTCAGCTCATCTCAGGTAAATGTCCTTCCTTCTGATAAATCTGGCTGTTATATGATGTCTTTTACACGTAGAGAGATTTTTTGGGGTGGGGGTTATTGTGACCTCTGAATTTTCATTTGAGATTTCGTTCGTCATTTTCTCGTTTTTTCATCAGCTTTTGTGCATGTGGTTAGTATAGCGCAAATAAAGAATAAAAAGTAGAAACATGCGTAATATATGAGGGAAATTCGAAAACTCACATTAAAAGCCACATTCAACTTCATGAAAATATGAAATGTTTCATTTCCTTTGCAATTTACAGTAAACTCTTTTATGTTTTGGTGTAACTCAATCAAAACAAACAAAAAAACAAACCTACTAAAAAAACAAAAAACAAAAAACCCCAACATTTGGAAACCGGAGTGACAACATAAAAATGCCAGAAACTCCAAATCCTCTAATGGCCACTCGTGGATGGTTCTAAAAGTGGGTCAGTCTCAGGTTAAAACGTGCAGCTTCACAGAATTAAAAAGTGTCTTTCCAGTATGGTACAAATTAAGCTGTTCCCCTTCATAACAACTGCACTGATAGTGGGGGCAGGCCGTGGCTGCTTAGACTGACACCTGGCCACCTCAGTTCTTCTATTTCCACGTACTGAATTTGGGCTCTCCTTTTTATTGACTATTTTGTAATTTTTATCTCACAATCCATTAAATATTCCAAAATGTACCACAGAAACGATGGAGAGGTCCAGCACAGTTTACAAGGCGAGGCTGCAATCAAAGCAACTACACCCGTAATTTAAGTCTCGCCAGTATCCAAATGAATGAGTTCTAAAAACATGAGCTATCATAAAGTTTTTATGAAGGTGGAAGCTCAACAGAAACCAAAA